CGCAGCCTCCAGCATATCGGCTTCCGATGCGGAGAGGAGGAATCGCTCAAAACCGGACTTGGAACGGATCGTCTCGAGGAGAGCGGCAAGCTGGGGTCCAGCGTCGCGGCGCCGATCGCCTTCCGTCTCTGCGGCCAGAGTGGGGTGCTCGGCAGCGAGGGAACGAGCCGACGCCGGTGCGTCCAGTTGATCTCGCAGGTCGATAAAGGAACGTACCAGGTCGGGATGCTCGCGTTCGAGAGCGGCAAGGTCGGATTGCTCGAAGAGGGCTCCCGCGATGACACCACGACCAGTCTCAAGCAGTTCGATAGCAGCAGCAGGGCCTCTGTTGGCATGCAGAGCAATGGCTGTCGCGTCCGACGAGAGTCCGACAGCCGCGGAGAGGAGGTGCCGCTTGTCTGAGTTCTGCAGAGAATGGGGCGTCAATAAGGGAATCAAGTCGATCGTCGTTTTGGCAATGGTGTATGCTTGTCGATCTTGAAGTATAGCTGGGGATGTCAGAAGATGACGGCCGGCTGCGACACGCATGCTCACCGGACTGACGCAAGGCAGCGACGAAGCGTTCCTTGCCTTCCTCGAGGTCTGCCATCGCTCCGTTCCGCGAGTACCTGTCGCTTAGACAAATTCCGAGGTTGTTCAGCCATCCAGCCCGGTTCGGATGATCTGACGGGGTGGCATCGATGGCTTCTCGTCCTACTTGGATCGCTTCCTCGAGGTCTGCCATCGCTCCGTTCCGCGAGTATCTAGCGCCTAGACGAACTCCAAGGTTGTTCAAGAACCTAGCCCAGTCTGGATGATCTAGAGGGGCAGCATTGATGGCTTCTTGCCCTACTTGGATCGCTTCCTCGAGATCTGCCATCTCTGTAGTCCGTGAGTATCTACGGCCTAGATGATTTCCGAGGTTGATTAAGAACCCAGCCCGGTTCGGATGATTTAGCGGGATGCCATCGATGGCTTCCCGTATCATGTGAATGGCTTCCTCGAGGTCTGCTATCTCTGCAGTCCGCGAGTACCTGTCACTTAGGAGAGTTCCGAGGTTGTTCAAGAATCCTGCCCGATCTCGATTGTCCAGCGGGGTGGCATCGATGGCTTCTCGTCCTACTCGGATCGCTTCCTCGAGGTCTGCCATCGCTCCGGTCCATGAGTATCTATCCCCTAGACGAATTCCGAGGTTGTTCAATAATATAGCCCGGTCCGGATGATGTAGAGGGGTAGCATCGATGGCTTCCCGTGTCACGCGAATAGCTTCCTCGAGGTCTGCCATCACGCCTATGCGTGAGTATCTGTCGCCTAGACCAATTCCGAGGTTGTTCAAGAACTAGCCCGGTCTGGATGATCTAAAGGGGCGGCATTGATGGCTTCTTGCCCTACTTGGATCGCTTCCTCGAGATCTGCCATCTCTGTAGTCCGTGAGTATCTGTGGCCTAGAGAACTGGTTGTCCTGGTAATTCGAAGCGGCTCGTTAGTAGTCCGATGTCTTTGCCAGGGAGGAAACTTGTCACCCACCCTTCGAAGCTTTAAAATCTAGAATAGAATCGGCCCTGGTGTCGAATGAGTGGAAGATTCGACCTCTGCCCTGCCTAGAATCACGCCCGAGCCACGCACCCACATGCGGCGAGCTATCACATTCTTAATTGCCATTCGTAACTGCTGACACTCAATGCTGACTTGGCATCTTCGTGGCTTGGCGCACTCAGCTTTCAGCTGGCAGAATCTGCATTCGTTGTACTGTAACCACCCTTTGGAGAAACTTAGCTTCTAGGATGGGAGCCACCTCGTCATAGCGGCGTCATGGCTCGTCTTAGACTTTCAGCCGACAGTCAGCGCGTGCTGTTTCGTCACTTGTCAGCAAGGCTCCAGAGTTAGATTTGTAACTCCTCGCAAATCCACCGGTGCAGGGTCGCCACATGCTCTAACCTGGTGCAATTTGTCATTTTCTGTAGGATCACTGGGACTGCTATCTCGATGCCTATTGGCTGCCGCGCGTACGCTGGTCCCAGACTTTTGTTCATGTTCGTGCACCTGCCAGAAAGTCGGAATTGTCTGCTCGTCGTCCGGAATCGAGGTAGGGTCCGCAGGCCATTTCCATTCATCAGGCCAACCTGTAGGTCTCGGCCAGTCCGAAATACACATTCTCAGGACATGACGGAAACGGTGCCAGGTCCCGGAGGAGCTCCTTCTCGTCCAGGGCCTCCAGCCGGACATCACTGCTTTCCCACCGGAATGCGACGTCCGGACCTCTTCAAATCCAAGAATCCGGGATCCTCCCCTTCCTAAGCACCCAGCAAAGACTAAAAGCTCTGATACCAGGCTACAGATTTTGATCGCCGCCTACGACGACGTCATGTCGGCTGTCTGTCGCGGGTACGAAAACAAAAAGCAGAAGGCCAAAGCCAGGACACCATTGCCGACCGGCCGCAACAAGAAGATCGACAATACCGCCGAGTGCGACGAATGGGAGCGCTACTTCGGCATCGCCACCCCCGCGGCCCAGGTCAAGTCTAACTGTCTCGTCGCCCTGAAGGCCGTGGCCCTTCGCTGGGGTCGCGAAGTCGTGCTGCACTATGACTGGGCATCCAAAGGCCCGAATTTCTGCAATCTGCCCTAGCTGCCACACTTTCCCCAGTGTGACGCGCTGTCACGGGGTGATAACGCCTGCCTGGTCGTGTGCCGCTGCGGTATGCGCTGAGATGAAAGGGAATGGAGATGGATCCTCTAGCCGCGGTTTCTTGAAAGGCTGGGTGATGTCGGGCAACGAGGCAGTACGGCGGCGGGTGGGAGAAGGGGCAGGAGGGGCGGCCCGGTCTGCGGCAGGACGCCTGGTCCAGACTTGGTCAAGAAGGCGCTTGGTGTGATGAAGGTAGAGTTGGCCGCGGATAGCAAAGAAACTCTCTGGCTTGAAGGTGGTGGTATTATCCAGGGCTCCTAGAAGGGTTGACGGCACAGGACAGCATGGCGGGGGCGGAGCTTTGGGGGCGGGGGCCTTCACTGGGTGTGTTGGGGAACCAGGACTTTTACTGTGAAAAAATTAGTGTTCAAAGCAGGCCTCACCTGATCGTAGTACTGCAGGCGCCTGGGGACTGGCACTGCCCATCATTCCGGGCGGTAGTGCGCTCCAGTACCGGGGACGGGGCTATAGTCAAGGGCCGTGCGCGGGGCCCCCTTGTGCTGACCTGCGACGCGCACTACTGGGGACGCGCACTACCTGCGAGGTGAAATTCAGGTACGTGGAGAAGAGGCGAGGTTCAGGTAAGTTTGTAGGGTCCGTGATTTTAATACTTGGCGGAAGCATCTATACTAAGCCGTTAATGAGGCGAAGCCGTCTTTAAGCTTTCGGCGACAGTTTAGACTTCGAAGCTATTATGTGCTATCTATCGGACTTCTCCAAGGTGATTATCCGGACCAAGACCTGTCATGGAGCAGAGAATATCCGAATCATTGACACTCTGAAATCTCTTTTCCAAAAGGCGAATTACATACAACTCAGCCACAGAGGATCAACTCGTCCGCATTTCTAGGGTTCCCGGCAGAGTGATCTCATTCCCTGTAGCGTTTTGATGGTCGTGTCGCTGGGACACTACTCTAGAGCCGTACTACATTCCGGGCCAGTTGCGACAGCCTGATGACTTATCTAAGTGATTCAGAAATCATGCGGCAGATAGTTCAGGGGGCCATCGGCTTCGCTTGGCACGACACTCTCCATTTGCGGTACTATCGACAACTTGATCAATAAAGAGATTCTCGGTGCTCGGGCCATGGGCGGCTTGCCCTGGGCTCGGAGCTCGAGCGAACCAGTGGAGTTCGCAGAAGTGCGGCTACTCAAGAGGTCATAGTGCGGCTAGAGGAAGAGCTCCTCGGGCCTATATAGACTAGTACTAGCGTGCCCTGGGAAGTTCAAGGAGATAGTATTTGCTAGCAGGTTCACCTCGCAGTGATATGCGGCATTTGACATCACCTAAGCGAAATTTAACAAAGTTTTCGCCGCGGTAACCTTCGATCAGTCCTGTATGATTGATTGAGTATACTCATGCACGAGGGATAGAACTGAGGCTCATGGCTTCAGTAGCAAGGTAGTAACATTGGTCTACGAATACTCCCTGCGCTCTGTTCACCTAAGTTTTGCTCCTCTCTCGGGTAGTCAATCCTCGCGCTCTAAGAGATTTCATTGATCTATATACGGGGTAAATTTCTCAGCTAGCAGGTGGATCAGAGAGGGGGAAAAGCAACGGAGGCAGCAAAGCGATGCCCCTTCTGGCGGAGTTGCTTCATCTTGTATTGAATAGGAGATAAAGTGTCTCTGAGTGATCGCACCTTGTTCGATCAAGCACGACAACGGGTGCTGATGGTTCCTGTCTGACCAGCGTAAGGGCAGCTGAGTATGCCTGCATCATTGCCTATAGTGAGGGCTTTGTTGAACACTCAGTTAGCCTATCGTAATCATTGACCTGGTAGGCTGATGTATCTCGGATCATTAGATCTCGATCCTCTCACCCCGCGCTTAGATATCTCACGCTCCGAATAGAATCCGATCTGCGTAGCACAACATGGATTTTTCTACATGATGCAACGGAGCAGATCGAGGAAACGTGGTATTTGCGTACCTTTCGTCCGCAGGTATAACAGACATATGGGAATGTGGATACTTACCGAGGTCGTTCTGCAAGGACCTGTATCCAGATGGTAGCACGCCCCTGTATGGCCCATCTTGGCACGCCCAATCGAAGTGATGACCTTGCCTCTTGTCATCAGGATCTCCCACTTTGATCAGGGAGATCTTGTGGCAAGGTTTCGGGGACCAATGACGATATTGATCTCGTCCCTGCCTCACGGCAACGCTGCCTTGGCCATGTACGATGGGAAAAAGCCAGCCTTCGTACTCGTAATAGCATCTTTTAAAGGATTTATGTCAGTTGTCATATGTGTATTCTGTTGGACCGAGGACGTGCAGCTTACTGGGTCAGCTCGATCTGCGAGCACAATCTCGTCCCAGGAAGCAAAGTATGGTCGCTCAGGCATACAGCCACGAAGAAGATCTCTTCCAGCTCCGAGTCAACCTCGATATGCCACTTCTCACACGTGTTGTTAAAGCCCGGATAGTCATTGCCTACATTGGTCTCGGCAAATGTCTGGTTAGAATCAAAGCCCAGAATCTGGTCCGTACTTTGACTGCTCTCGCTTTTAATAGTGCGAACAGCAGAGATACTTCGGGAGAGAGTCATCACAGCGAGAAAGGTATTTTTAGCGTCGGTTAAGCGCATCTTGTGGCTGCAGGGTAGGTATTTGTGCCGAGAGAGTTGTGTAGTAGTTAAACCGTTATCAGCTACGCGAAGTACTTCGACTGCTATTATAGAACATCCCCAGTATCACATGTGGGCGACGGCAAGGCCAAGGTGTTTCGTAAGGTTACGGGCAAGGGTAGCAGAGAGTTAATGTAAACAGTCCGCTCAAACTTGTCAACTTGGCGAGCAGGGTTGTAGACCGGCTTTAGGTTAAGTAGTAGGCTCAATAACATAAGGCACAGGAGTCTCCAAGGAGATCCCACCGGAAAGGGCGTCCGCTTCGCACTTACCGACAAGCAACATCTCGTCCTTCTACGCTGTATCCCATGCGATTATCCTCAACGGTGATCAACGCATTTAGTGTGTCTCAAGCTCCCCGAAGGGTAATGTCCACACGCGATCGCCGAGTATCAACTAAAGCCGCCTTGGACCACGGTAACTATTTATTCACCGCCAAGCAGTCAATAATTGTGGATGCTTCTTAGCTAGACAGTACCGCACAGTTTGTAGTTTTTCCTATTATGATGGGTGCCAACATATTCACAGTCTACAATACGTGTGTGGCTCGCGTGCTCCCGTTGGCGAGAGGTGTCCTGTCCAGTGCCTGCGCCCACGGCGGAGCAGGGAAAATAGCAAATCCAGCAGGAGTAACAGCACCTTCGCTGCGCTGCCTCCGCAACCTCTGCTCCTTTCCGCACAGCGTGGCCGTGCTCATAAGCACCTGCAAATAGAATCATGGCTGGAGCGACCGGACCGTGTACTCCGCATTGCCTCGGTCCGTGAGAGAGGGATGACCTGAAACTCGTCCAGTCTGACTTAGATCCGCTCGCCAAGAGACGGCTTTCACAACTAGAATGACTAAACCTTCCTGCTCACCTAACTATTCTCTGTTTCCTTCGCAGACCCGTCCTTGTCTTTGGCCTGATTATGGGGCCTTGTTTATGCCGTCTCAGAGCCCAAACAATCCCTGGTTGGTGCGGGTTGTCACGCTCGACCAGAAAGACTCGTAATATCAGGACACGAAATTCAACATGAGCTTCTAGGATCTGATTAAGACGGTTTCAGGGTTCGAAGAGCGATTTTTCAAGGACGTCAAGGCCCGTAAGATTGATGTAGCACTGTGTGAAGTAGGGGAATGAGACAGTCAGCACCTGCACACTTGGACCAAGGATTGCCTTCGCTTATTAAAAACTGAACGAAGTTTATCACTGAAATCTCGGGGCTTAAAGTAGAGTGATTTGGTGATCTAACAACCTAACGATCTCGCTTATGGCATACAACTTAGTTTTGCAGGCTATTTTGTATGCACGAATGTAGTCCGCGTTTGAAAAAGAGTTCGCTTGGGAGGAAGCTTCAGTCTGTATAGCTTCGACTGGATGGGATATGATATTTTCCAGCGGGACCATCCTTTCACCCACAGAATCGAGTAAGTTGCTTTATTGAATAAGTCTTTCGTATTCCTGGAAGGCTCTGAGCGGTTGTCACTGGGCCCGTGTCGCTTCAAGCACCACTCTTGGATACCCTTGATCCCCCCCACTTAGCATTCAGCGCGGTATATATAGTATCGCTATCGTGGGGAACTTCGACATACACAAACTGCTCTCCAGAGGGCAAAGGCGATCTTCTGAGAGTGTAATCTCATCGTTGATCAAGGTGGCGTATATAAGACAGTTTACATCATCCGCAATGATGAATCCATTTTCGCCAACCCGTTGTACAGTCGAATTCGAAATCGGTGTCCACTTTCGCTTAACGTCACTCTCTCTGCGCACGGTCCGCCTTGTCTTTGCAATGCCAAGTGCATGGAGCCGCAAACAAAGCTACCTGCAGGTAGGTGGGGCAGTCAGGACAGCCATTTCAGGCTGCAGGCAGGATTCACTCATTGCATAAACAGGGCGATGCCTGGAGAGCATTCCTTAGAAGCACTCCCCTGGCTTCTTTGGACCTGTTTTTCCAAATGAATTTCTACTCTACAGTCGAAGTTAGCTTTGACCGGGTCTTATGAGGTGTTTTCATCTTAAGTGACCTTCCTGTCATTTTGGCATGGGCACAGGGGGAGTCGTTTTGTCTAACCAAGTACGGCTTTCTCACACGAAGCTCTTGCCTTAGGAAGGGTTTCCAGCTAATTTCGCGACTACTAGCAGCGCGTCCACGGCTATTGTGTGGCTCATACTCGTGATCCAATTCGTACGGATAATCAAATCATACAGAGATGTTCTCCTTGATCGAAGTTGGTTCAAAATACTGATGTCGGATGAGATGTACAATATGATCTAAGCTTACTGCTGAGTGAAGCCTATTCCATCTTCATTTTATGGCAAGAATCTTACAAATGACTAAACAAGACATACTGTATATTCTCGGATACTAAGCTACGATACATCAGAAAGGCAATCAGAGCCCAGCTCTGCTTAAGGCAAATGGTCAAAGGATAGTCAAAGGCGCCAATTATGATCTACGTGTTTCTAGATAGAGGTGAAATGTAGGATAAAAATGCGGCCAGTCGAGCATGCAATAACCAATTTCGTGTCTGCATCCACTGTGGCCCACCCAACAACTCGCGATCGGAGCTCTGGAAGAAGCCAGAGGACCGGCTGCGAATCCCTCAAAATCCATGCACCATCCGAACTGATACCATAGCGTTGGCGGCCGGCCGTGACGGACATGTTTGGATATGGATCCAAGATGTATTTCACGGCACTCTCGACAAGGACGACTTGAACACCGGTATAGATGTACGTGTCAGTCTTGTCGAATGAGATAGAGCAACCGGCAAAATCTCCGTACATGATAGAGCCATCGGCATCAACTTCGTATGTCGCCTCAGACATGCCCGTAGCCGCATCCCACAGCTTGACTGTCTCATCCTGCGATGCCGAGACAACGCGGCGGCCGTCTGGGGAGAAGGCTGCCGACGCGACCCAGCCGATATGGCCCTCGAGTGTCGCCTCACATGCGCTCCATTGCTCCGAGAGCTCCGGTTTGCACTGGACCCAATCCGGGGTCTCGCCGCGGAAGAGCTTCCGAACCAAACTTTTAGCTGGACTGAAGACGAGTGCCGAGATGTAACATTGCAGCGGTTGGGTCTCAAGTGCTGGGCGGAAGCTTCGCAGAAGACGGTACACGTCAACAACTATTTCCTGGAGACTTGACGCGTTCAGATGGTCCTGTTTTGTTTAGTACTTCTTTCATGCAAGAGGGCTTTTCTGAGCATACCTGGATGTGCTGTTTGACTCTCTCCAATGCGATCATACCTTCTGATATGCTGCGTAGTAGACTCAACGCCTCAATCCAGTAGAGAGTCTTGTCCCGCAAGAAGTTGTTGACTCTTCCGCGGTCGCGTGTGCTGCTGCCTTCATCCTGATTCGTAATGCTCTCTACTAAATGATTAACCCAGTAGACGCAGCAATAGCCGACTTCCGTCAGTGGGTCAATCACCGGTGGGCTGATGTCCTCCATAGGAAAGCCCGGGTCGTGCAGATTGTAGATGTCGCGCTTGAGTATGCGGGACATAGCCTCGATTGAGTTCTGGAGAATCTGACTGTGAATAGATGGCTGTCCTTTGGCAAAGAGAACGCTCGCGTGCGACTTCATCAAAAAGTCCTTCCCCGATTGGTGGACACAGTACACCTTGTCTTCGCGAATGGTGAGGAACGAGCCGCATAGGCTGATGATCTCCTGTAGCGATTCGCGATCGGTTCCCACGTCATCGAGCTCTCCGACCAAAGCCATCAATTCGGACAGCGACGGTGGGCGATAGGTTGTTGCTACGAGTGCAAGAATCTGCGTACAGCGTTCGGTATCCTCTGAGGCGAGGATTTGCTCCATCATTCGTTGATATAGAGCATCAAGGCCCGGAGGGAAAGACTTGACTTTCTGTAACGCGTTCCCTTTGCGAGTCTTCTCGAGTTCTTGGCAGATCAAGGCAACCCAGAGAAAGGTACCGTCCGCGTTCGACGACAGAAAGTGGTGGACTTCCTTGGCTATGTCGTCGCGGTAACCCTTGCGTCGTGCAAGCTCGGACACCTTGTGGTCGATGTATGTATTTACGGCTTCTGTAACTGAAGTTTCATTAACCTCAAGCGAAAGCCTGTGCGCCACTTTGCGCAACGGTTCCTCAATCTGAGGCCAATTACGGCTTCAAATGAGCCATTTCGCTGTGGTTGTTTGCGAGGTCCTGACCACGAGGTCGAGAAACACTGGCAGACCTTGCAAACACTCGTCCAGAGCGTTGACCACAAGGACAACTCCCTGCAGTTTGGCATCCTGGAGGATGTTCTCGAAGATTTCACATAGCGCCTGCCAGCCGTTGGTGTCTTCAAAAAGGTCTCTGCCGGCCTTCTCGTGCTGCTTTTCCATGTGAGAAACGAGGGAGGCGTCCTTCTCGAGGAGCATGTAGATCAGGCTGCGCAATGCAGCCGCCGCGGTATTGATACGCCCATCGGTGGCCTGGAAGAAAAAGTAGGATAGAATCTGTCCTTCGGTGCGCATCCTCTCGAGTTCGTCGATGATTCCGCAGAGTAGCATGGTCTTGCCCTTGCCTGGATCGCCTTTGACCCAGAGTAGGCGCTGGTCGTTATTGTCACGCCACTGGCGGAAGTCCGGGTTGTCGAGCACCCAGAAGTAGGAGTCCCTGAGTAGGCTGCCCTTCATGTTTTCGATGCGCCTCTTGTCATGGCGAGGATCGGTCACGCGCAAGTCGGCAATGCATTGCTTGGCTGCTTCGCTAACAGTGTCCTTACCTGTAAACAAGAATGCATACCAGGACAAACTGGTCAGCCTGTGCTCCAGCATATTGGAAACGCATCTGAAGCCATGACTTCTTACCAATCTCTCGTCTCAGTCTGAGGAATGCCTTCTCCTCGCCCTCGCTGTAGATGAGTGGCATATGCGCGTCGAAGATGCCAAGCATGCAATACGCAAGGTCTTCGGGACGCTTCGTCTTGCGCCCTCCCACCCAAGAGAGTCGCTCGTTGATGCTGAAGTCAGCCAGAGGTTTCCCTCGAAGCGCGTCGACAGGGACCCCTGTGCATTCGTGGAGCAGTGCCTCTAACGTTGTTTTGTTGCCAAGTACGTATCCTTCTGCTGAGAAGAATTTGACCGACCGTGGGGCGATCAGCTCCTGGAGCGTCCAGCCGCGGGTTAGCCACCGGCTTCTTCTGAAGGCTGTCTCCCATGGAAGTTGTGACGCTTTGTCTTCGTCCTTGCCGCCATTGTTGACCACGTCGCTGAGGTAGACGTAGCAATGGTCGGCGTCTCTGTACCAGCGAACCATGGAGTTGATCGCTTCTTGAAGCTCCTGGCTGTTAGACTTGTCTATACAGCAAGTGTCGATCCAGAAGTTTTTCAGGCCATCCAGCGCAGCCTGCTGGCTGCAGAACGTGAGCTTTTTATACCCGACCTTGTGGTGGCCTGTATGATGTTGAACGTCTTGAAAGGTGATCTCCTGGTCATCGGCTCCACAGGTGTGCGAGAGGATATCATATGGCGGGACGTCCTCTTGAGGGTGCTCCTTAAGTCTGAGGCTGCCATCCTCTTGGAGTTCCAAGAGCCGCATCCTGCAAAGGTGGTCTGAGCAGGGTATCTCGATTGATTGATGGTTTTGGCCAGCGACGGCGTGATGCGACTTTGGTCACGAAAACCGAGTATGCTCGAGCATCAGGATCGTGGTGGGGCACAACCAGCAGGCGTTCAATAGCGGTTGGAAAAGGAAAGGGTTAAGTGCATGGAGACAGTCCCACCTGCGGGAACCAGAAGCGGGGCTGACGCTTGAAACCAGTGTCCTATTCCGCAGATATCATACTACTGTATAGTACTGTGTCGGGGTGCCTAAAAGCGACCCAGTTTGCGGAGGATGAGGAGTCAGCCTCGCAAGGCAGCTACAGTACTGCACATTCAGGCAGCCATCTTGCCGGCCATTTTGGCATGATTGCATGAACATGTAATGTAGAAATTCCGTTCCGTATAGTAATAACTGCGGGAATGTTTGCTTGCAGTGACCGTATTATATTGGCATATACCATATGCCGCTTTTCTTCCACGTTCACCTCGTCGATGCAATAAATAAAAGACACCAGACGACGCTATAAATTACTATTGGCGCGCAAAACAGCTGTCCGAGATGCCCGGTCTGTCCAGGCATGTCTCCACTTATGTGCCCCACGTTGCCAAGACGAGCGGCTCGTGCGCAAAGAGACTTACGCCCAACGGAAGCCGGACACCGATTTCGAATCTGACTGTATAGAGTGGTAGTTACATTCGGGGTCAGCCTTTTGTGTATTGACCAGTTGGCATAGGGCCTGTTTGTGTGGGTTCATGTTCGATCCATACTCCCATCGCCAAAAATGGCCCACCGAGTCAGCCAGTAGCAATGTATTGTCCGACCACGGAACAAAGGACCGCACCCTCATAGATAATATCTTAGGCAATTACTACACGGGCATGAAGAATTGCTACCCGGGCATGACTCTTACACGGGCATGACCTTTTGCAGCCTCTGATTGGTCCATCCCTTTTTGTTAGTGCATCTAGATTCTGCCAACGCTCCCCTTGTACCTCGGGATTAGCTCTCCACCACGACGATCGACGAGACATATGGAAGCTATTCACTAGCTAGCTACTACACCAATTACCTCTTGTCGCATGTCAAGCCTACTGATAATGATTGTTCGTGAAAGATACCATATTTGTCAAGGTCACAGGGCTCCAGGCGTGGTGTGTTAGGCCCCTGCTGAGACCAACACTCAAACACACGCTGTATCAGGAATATCCAATAGCCTCATCTTCCAAGGCATCTGCATCACAAAGCAGGTCATTCCTTTGTGCTGAAATTGGTCCCCTCTTTCCTTCTTTCATAGTCAAATCAACTGCCCCTTTAACCATGTTCTCATCCGTGCGTGCGACACTCTTCCTGTCGCGATCAAGGCCGTCATTATGTCCCAGCCCGACTCTCGATCTAGCTCAGCAAGCAACCAACGACTACGAAGCCATCAATTACGTCCCCGAAAACGACAGCGGCAGAACCAATCTGAGAGTTCAAGACCACCTTCGTCTAATAGCACAGGGACGAGCATTGGCCCACACTATGGCGTGGGAGACGACGAGGCACTCTATAATGCTTTCGCCTCGCACCCAGAGACCTTCACGACCGCTCCACGCCCCCATGGATCGCGTGGGCTGAACGAGCCACCATGGGAGCTGCGATTCGATCATGAGATTCACCTATCGAATGATTTCCCAACCCGAGGAAGACGGTCGCAACGAGTAAGAATGCCTATACCAGGCCCGGAAATCGACCAGCCACCTACCTGCTCTCCACAACAATCAGCACAAGAACAATTCTCTCCAACAAGACCCCAGTTTCAGTCCGCCTTTAGGCTAGTGCGCGAGGTGATTGGGACAGATCGAAGACTTACCATCGAGCTCGTCCGGTCATACGAACGAGTCCGCCAATGGCGCGAGATATGGGGCTACTCGCCGCTCAGTTCAACTGCATTCGAATCATCTCCGCCATACTCGCCTCCCCGAGAAAGGCACTCTCCGCCTATCGCCTCGCCGCCCTCGCCCGACCACCCCTTGTCGCCTGTCCCTGACCCGATCCCGAACCCACCTATCCCAGGCGACCCAGCGCCGTCAGCCGAAGTCCTGTTCGAGTGGGTGAATACTTTCGCGAAGGCTAATGGCTTCGGTATTGTTCGACGAAATGCCTACTCATATAAGGGTCGGAAGATCCGGTACTCTTTCCAATGCGATCGATTCGGAGAACCACGCCCCTCAGAGAGTACCGGTATTCGGCAACGGAAGTCTCGAAAGTGTGGTTGTAAATGGATGGTCATCGCCGAAGCACTGGAGGAGGGTAGATGGCTTCTACGACACCACGATAACTCCGAGCATAGCCAGCATAACCACGGGGCCAGTATCAAACCATCCGCCCATCCCTCCCACAGACGACTCACTACACCTATCAGGGCAACAGTCGAATCGACAAGCCGTCGGGTCGGAATTCGGGCCCGTGACTTACGCGCGATCGTCCTGGAGCAGCATCCCGAGTCATCCTTTACACGAAAGGATATCTATAACGCCAGGTCTCGTATCAGCCGAGACAAGTTGAGCGGCCACACTCCTACTGCAGCACTGATCAAGCTGTTCGACGAGATGGAGATTCCCTATCTTGTTAAGTGGGCGGATGATGAGCCAAACCGCCTCGTCGGTCTTGTCTGGACCTTTCCGTACTGCCTCCAGATGTGGAAGCGGTTTCCTGAGGTCATCAGCTTCGACAACACATACAACACCAACCGCTTCAAGCTTCCATTATTCCAAGCAACAGGACAGACCTGCCTTGGTTCTGTCTACAATGCGGCGTTCGGTCTGATCGACAACGAGAGACGGGAGGGGTTCCAGTTCCTCTCTGAGAGCATTCGACAGATCTCAGAGCAGCACTCTATTCGCCAACCGGACGTTATCATTACTGACTTCGACGGTCAGATGAAGGCCGCGCTGAATGATCAGTTCCCTGATGCACAGCAGCAGCTGTGCATCCACCAAATCAATTCTAACGTCTTGCTCAAGTCAAAGCAGAAGTGGGTCAAGGGCCAATGTAGCAGTAGTAGTCCCGACAGCAGCAACGGGGAGGACTACGCTCCACAGGCACAGGCTGAGCTCGGCCCAAAAGACGGACAGTTGGTCAACGTGCAGACAGCTGAAGTCGTCCCTCATAGCCATCGAGGGGTTCTCATGATGTGGAAGGTCGTCTTGTTTGCGGAGACAGAGGAGGCTCACGAGAAGGCGTGGGGAAGCCTCTGTAGGGAATTTGACGATCAGCGGGCCATCCTGCGGTATCTCCATGGAACCTACATGCCTGTCAGGGCGCAGTGGGCACGATGTTTCATTCGCAACTATCGCAACTTCGGCATCCGCGTCACATCTGGGACAGAAGCAAGCAACAACAACATCAAGAGCTATCTCCTGAATGGTATGAGCAATCTCTATCGGCTTATCGAGGCTATGCAGGACATGATGAAGGACCAGGAGCGAGATTTCAACGACGCCTGCGCAGCGGACGAGGTACTTACCGCGCGAGAGCACATAGGGTCCAGCTCGGAGTATCTAGGCGAACCCCGGACAGCACTCTCTTCGAAGGGTCTCGGGCTTATCAACAAACAATATCGGCTAGCAAGGAAAGCAATGCCGACGGGGAAGAATCCGTTCCCTGACCCCATTGGCGATTGCAGTGAGGACTGCTCGGTTTCGACCGAGCTTGGAATCCCCTGCTGCCACACAATCTACTCAAAGCTGGTGAGTGGCACGCCTCTCACCAAATGGGAGGTCCATCCTCGGTGGCGCCTACGAGAGCCATCCTCTCGAGATCCATACCGACGAATCCTCGACCCTAAGATCGCCACTGCTCTCCGTGGCAGACCTAAGAACACCACACAGGCTGTTCCAGCGCGGCTAGCCATTGAGGCAAGCAGCCAGCCGAGTAGCCAACGAGCCAGCAATCCAGCAAGCCAAGCGACAGGGCGCAGACGAGGTCGACCACCAGGAAGTCACAACAAGTCAACGCTAGCTAGGCTTGCTCTGGAAGCGAGCCAACAGGCCAGCAGCCAGGCTAGTAGCCAGGCCAGTGCCTCATCCCAGCGCCAGACACGCAGCCGGTCAGCTGTTCTTGGAGCTGGAAGAACTACAGGAGTACGTGCCAACGGACGGAAGACGCAATCTAGCATTCGCAGGCGAAGGAGTCAGTGGGAGCTGCTTGACAGCGACGAGGAGGTTCTTCCATCTATAGTAGTTAACGTAAATGCATAGCGAGTGGGCCAGCATAGCGAGTGGGCCACCTCCATCACTTCACTAGAATTCCATCTTCTAACACATCTTACTCAACAACCAGCCATGGAGACCCCTTCTAAAGATAACCAATTGAATCTCGCTCTTCAAGCTATGGACCGTGATCCTTCCCTTTCTATACGCCGCGCAGCTGCAATCTACAACGTCTCTCGAACAACGCTTACCCGCCGCTATAAGGGGACGCCTTCTCGACGCGATAGCCTACCAAATTCGATGAAATTAACAGAGCTAGAGGAGCAGACGATTGTCGACTATATTCTCGACTTGGATGCGCGAGCATATCCTCCTCGGCTAAGTGAGCTTGGAGAAATGGCGAATCGACTGCTCGATAAGCGGGCTGCGCCACGCGTCGGTCCACGATGGGCGTCAAACTTCGTGAAGCGACAACCATAGCTCCAGACGCGTTTCTTTCGCAAGTACGACTACAAGAGAGCCCAATGCGAGGATCCCGACGCGATAAACGCGTGGTTTCGGCTTGTGCGGAACGTAGTCGCGAAAAACGGCGTAGCGGACTCCGATATCTACAACTTCGACGAGACAGGCTTTCAGATGGGCGTTATCGCGACCGGGATGGTCGTTACAAACGCGCAAATACGGTCGAACGTTAAGATGAAGCAACCAGGTAATCGGGAATGGGTTACGGTAATCCAGGGCGTTAGCGCGACTGGATTCTACGTCCCGCCGTTCGTTGTATTTGCCGGCAAATATCACCTCTCGACCTGGTACCAAGATAACGCGATTCCTCGCGACTGGAGAATCGTAACATCCGCAAACGGCTGGACTACAAACGAAATTGGTCTAGATTGGATTCGACATTTCGATCAGCACACAAAGTCGCGAACAAAAGGCGGTTATCGCCTCCTCGTCCTCGACGGCCACGAAAGTCACCACTCGGTCGAATTCGAGCTCTACTGTAAGGACAACAACATTATTACGCTCTGTATGCCTCCTCACTCGTCTCATATACTCCAGCCTCTCGATGTTGGCTGTTTTGGTCCGCTGAAGAGAGCATACGGTCGGCAAATTGAGCTTAAGATGAAGGCGGGTACAACGCATATCAGCAAGGAGGACTTCCTCCCCTTGTTTTTAGCGGCATTCCAGCAGACAATGACGGAAAAAAACATCCAGGGAGGCTTCAGAGGGGCGGGACTTGTACCCTATGACCCTGAAGCCGTTTTATCCAAGCTCGATGTGAAGTTCAAGACGCCAACACCCTCGAGGACGCCTCGGACGTCACCGGAGCCATGGACTTCCCGAACGCCCACCACCGCTATGGAAGCCCGTTCACAGTCTAATTTCATCAAACGTCGGATCTCTCGTCACCAGGGAAGCTCTCCAACGTCAATTATTGAAGCAGTTGAGCAGTTCACGAAGGGAGCAAAGGGGATCATGCACCGGTTCGCCCTAATGGAGGCAAGGATGAAGATGCTTGAAGACGAGAATGCAGTACTTAGTAAGCGCCGGAGAGCTAAGAAAACACGTCTCCGGAAAGGCCAGAGCATGACTCTAGGCGAGGGACAGGACCTTATAGCCCAGAGAGAGGTGAACACTCAAATAACACAGGAAACGCAAGAAAATCGAGGTCATGCAGGCGGCACTACGCCAACGCAGCGCCGCTGTGGTACCTGCGGGATGACTGGCCATAATGCGAGAACTTGCCAAATAGTTACTCTAGGGTCTGAACTCGAAGATAGCGATTAGTTTATATCAATTCAAGACGTTTTGGTTTTGCTGACGAGGTTTTGATTCTCGAGATGTGGTGGGGGTGGCCCACTCGCTATGCTGGCCCACTCGCTATGCATTTACGTTAGAGGATAGAGATATAGATAGCTGCCCTCTAGGGCGCGCTGGAATTGGCCGTGTTCTGTATTGAAAACCAGACCTTGTTTTGATATACGCCTAAGACCTGTTCTAGAGGCCTGGTTGACCTGGTTGGTTCTGACTATACCGAAAGCACGGCCTTGTTAAGAGAGCTTGCTTCACCGCCTTTGCACTGATGTACCTGTGGGTCGAAGGAAAAAAATGAGCGAATCAGAGGCGATAGAAGTCATGCCCGTGTAAGAGTCATGCCCGGGTAGCAATTCTTCATGCCCGTGTAGTAATTGCCTTCAGCGTACAGAGGGGTGATATGACATGTGACTCGAAATGTGAGGATTCCGCCCCTGGGGAACCGTACTCGCTCGCACTCTTTCCAGGAAAATTGATCCACAGCAGCTGAGGGGTGAAGTCGAGCTCTGTCCAGTTCTGGACGGCTAGAGAGGCTGTTGCAGGGAGCCCAAGCCTCCGAAGTCGTGCCTCAATTCTTCGAAATGTTCTGAGAAGACCCTGAAAATTCAGCCGGTAGAAGATGAATGTGCAAAACCTGCAGCCTTCGAGGGCTGCTGCCTCGACCTCTTCCGTCTCCAGGACCCGCACAATTCGATGAGCCCGCAACACATCTCTGGGAAGGCTCGGCCAATGTTCAAGAAGATGCTTGCACTGATGGCAGAAACCTTGCTCGACGCATGCCGTTGCCCGGAGACTTTGAACACGTGAATTGACCAGATCGTCATCGAGGTAGTCGGACTTGACAGCCTGGACGACGGCTGAGTCTACGCCAGTGGCGTTGTCGTCCTCTGCGATATATGCCTGATACCACGCCTCGAGACTAGAGAGCTTCATCTTGACATGGCCCACCTGCTCGAAGCCGTAGCTGTGTCGGTCAGTCGCACTGATCCCCTGCGCAAACCTTGACGGCTCGGAGTGGTCTGCGACGTCGAGATCCGAGATCGAAGGAGTCTGGACCCCGCATGTGCGTGGGATTCCCAGATGCCGTCATCTTGTCCCAATCCCGTGCTAAAGATATGACTGCCAGGCAAGTGGACCCTGCCGGGTTTCTGACCCTGCATGCCAGCCAGGGTGCTCCTCGCTGTTAACCACGTTGCGGTTGCGGTAGGCGTAGCACTGTGACGCCAGCGCGTACATACTTGGGTCCAGCACGGGCTGACCCGAGCGTCGAGCCCCAGCTTCCCCGCATCGGGATGCCTGCCTGGCCCTGAGTGGAGCTGCGTGCTTGTCGGAGGCCGGGACAATGGGGCGCGTGCCTGCAGCCCACACGTCACAAGCTCCGAGCCAGTCTAGCTCCCAAGCGTCAAGCTCAGCTCCTGCTCCCCAAGCAACCAAGCTCGCCCGAGCTTCCTCCCAGCACTTGCTCACCCTCTCTCCCTCCTCAACTCATCCAGCTGGTAGGGGACAGCTTCGGTCTCGTCTCCCATCATAGCAACTCGGACGCCCGCCGCGTAACCTCACAGTTGTGACCTAAACTCCACGTCCCACAAGCCCAGCTGGTCTGGCGCAGCTCCCCAGTTCAACGCGTCATCCCCTGCCCGAGGACCGGCGCTGAAGCCTTCAGCCACATAGCCACGACAATCGATCATCGTACACGACCAGCACCCACCCGGGCCTCTTCACCATGTCGGGCAACAACGAGCGGACCCCGCTGCTTCCCAACGAGCCCCGAGGCCGGCAACCAGAGCAATGTCGACGACACGCCCTTGGACGAGCAGGTCAGACAGGCAAGGCTTCGTCGCTGGGTCTCCATCTGCGTCAGCGTGTTCATCATTGTGGCCTTCATCGCCATCCTGGTCCTCGCCGGAGGTATGCTAGTATCTCCCACTTGGGTATTGATATACCATCATGAGCTTGTACTCATCCTTCGTTCTCATTAGTCTTGGACCGCGGCAAGAAGGGCAGAAATGCAGATACCGCAGTCCCTCTTTGCACCACCGCCGCTTGCATCCACGCAGCATCCGAGCTGCTGTGTAAGTCCAAATAACTCGCTGAATCTCGTTCGTGCAAGGCTCATCCTGTGTCAGACAACCTCTCTCCCGATTACAAGAACATTGATGCTTGCACCAACTTTGACTCTCTGGTCTGCGACGGATTCAATGCTCGCCATGATATTCCTCAGGACCGAAGCTCCTTTTCCACCGCCTCTCAGATGTCTGATACTGGCCAGACGATCCTCCGCCACATACTGGAGTCACCCTATCCAGGTCAATCAAAGGTAAAACCACGATCTGGGCAAATTCCGTGCTGCAAGAAAACACGCTGACAACAGCTAGCACTCCGCCTTCTCCCCGATGAACCTCGCGCACACGACTGCAAACACGGACGAAGAGAACTTCCGAAAGATGCAAACGTCCTTTGGCGCCTGTATCAATGAGACTGCGATCGAGAATGTCGGAACCGAGCCTCTTATGGAGCTCATCAAGTCGGTAGCATTACACCTCGAGCTTGCCGATGATGTGGCAGAGGGAGGGCTTGGCCAGCCCATGACAGAAGGCGAGCTTGGGTCTCTTCATCAGACGGTCGAATTCCTGGAGAAAATTGGGGTTGGCTCCTTTGAGCAGCTCTTCATTGGTGCAGATGACAAGGACCCCGTGAGTGCTGTGCGCGATTGTCTGCTTGTCTGGAGTCGGAGTCCGCTAATATGTGATTGATAGGAATTGCTGATTGTCCAAGCATTCCCAGATGGCATCACCCTCCCATCCCCGGAGTACTACAAGGACAAGGACACTTTGGCATCATACCAGAAACTTCTGGAAGAAGTCTTCAGCACTCTACTCCCTCATGAGACTTGGAAGAAGTCTGCGTCAATACTGGCCAAGGCTGTCGTAGAGTTAGAAGTCAAAATTGCTGAAATTACCCCGCCTCCGGAAGGTCTCCAGGACGTCACAGTACGTATGCCTCACAAAATATGATGAGACTTTTGCTAACGCGTCTAGAAATACTACAACATCGAAAAGATTGACAAGGTTGGGGAGCTTGGACCTGCGCTGCGGCTTGACAAGACTGTCAGAGCACTTGCTCCCAAGGACTACAAAGACAGCTCAATGCTACTGGCCTTCCCAGAGTTTCTGACCAAGACATCCAACTTGATCGCCGACACGCCCAAGAGAGTACTGCAAAGCTACTTTATCTGGAAAGTGCTTTACAGCTATGCTAGCGCCATCGAGGCACCAGAGGTCAAGCCCATCTCACGGTTCAACAATGTGCTGAGCGGCAGAGTGAGTGAAATGAGCAGTCACGCTGGACGATTCCATTGCTCACTGTTGATGGCAGGACCCTGAGACCAAGACGGAATGGTGGAAAACCTGCCTGCGCCACGTCGACGGAACAATCGGCTGGATCCTCAGCAGATTCTATATCGAGGCAGCATTCTCTGAGGAAGCCAAGAAATTTGGCGATGAAATCATCACTGATATCAAGCACCAGTTCATCTCCAAGCTGAACGGTCTGAGCTGGATGGACGAATCCGTCAAGGAGCTTGCTGTCAACAAGGTCAAGAACATCGATCAGAAGATTGGGTATCCGACTAAGTCGCCCAACATCATGGAGCCACCCGCCTTGAGAGACTACTACAAAGATCTTCCCATCTCAGACTCCTTCTTCAAGAACACCCTGAGCAGCGCCAAATGGAGTTCTGACAAGAGCTGGTCGTCGCTGGGCAAACCTGTCGACCACAACGAATGGGGCATGCAGGCTGACATTATTAATGCCTACTACAATCCAGTTGGCAACGAGATTGTCTTCCCCGCGGGCATCATGCAGTTCCCCGTGTTTGACGTCGACCTTCCCAGCTACCTCTCGTATGGTGCCTTCGCTTCTGTTGCGGGACACGAGCTGTCACACGCTTTTGATAGCTCCGGCAGACACTACGATGAGCATGGCAACTTCACAGACTGGTGGACCGAGCGTACTGTCAAGGAATTCACAAAGCGCGCAGACTGTTTCGTTGCTCAACATGGCAATTTCACCGTGGAGGGCACCGACGGGAAGCCGCTCCATGTGAATGGCAAGTTGACACTCGGCGAGAACATTGCCGATGCCGGCGGTGTGGCTGCCGCCTTCGCTGCGTGGAAGCAGCGACAAGACACTCAGCCCGACAAGAATCTCCCGGGGCTGGAGTTCTTCTCGCAAGATCAGCTCTTCTTCATATTCTATGCCAACTTCTGGTGTGGCAAGATCCGTAAGGAGCAGGCCATCAACTACATCTACACGGACCCTCACTCGCCGGCTTGGGCCCGCATTTTGGGCACGACGGCCAATTCGCGCGAGTTCAGAGAGAGCTTCAACTGTCCCGTCAAGGAGCCGACTTGCGAGCTGTGGTAGAGATGGGTTTTATTGTGCCTTGGCAAATTGTACGGCACGGGTTTTGGATGTATGCTGTGAGCTGAAATAGTTTAATTAGCTGAATGATCATTCCTTTGTTCTCCAGACTGCTGGTCCTAGATGTATCCTGGGCTATAGCCTCGCATGACTGCAAAAAGCATGATGGTCTCTGCTTACGAATCGTGCTGTACGAGCCCAACACTGTGTCTGTGCCTGCCGCCTGGTCGTGCCAGCTCAAAGGCGTGATTGTGAAATGCCTGGCAGCTCTGACTGCGCACTCGCGACATCGACCATGACGTATCTATAGGTTTATCACCGCAAATGTCTCCAGGACTAGCCCACCCTTCTTCGTCCATGGACTTTGACTCTTAGGTAGGGGTCCTACTGCGGCATAACTTTCCATTCTCCCAGCAACTAATCATTGTGCCTGCCAAGGGGCTTCCCTGAGTGACTACCGCCCCCTTCCATCCCTCCTCCCTCTACTTATACTTCTCCTACCGCCGCACCCTCCCACTCCTTACGCCTGACCCGGCCCTCGGCCCACCACAAGGCCGTGCTCGTCCCCAGGAACAAGACCGGCCAGAACACGCCCGCACGCCTCATCGCCCTGCGGACCTGCGCGGGCTGTGTCTTGAGAACCCGGGCCTCGACATGCGAGTGCCACAGCATCTCTGCGACGAACCCGCCAGCGCAGATCAGGGGCAGGTTGTGCTTGTTTGTGGTGCTGTGCAGGCGCGCCGCAATGGAGTCTAGTGTTTGTTGAACCCTGTTGTTGGTGTTGCTGGTGCTGCTACTGCCGCTACTGTCAGGTTGGGAGGGTTGGGTTGGGGACGCCGCCATATTTTCTGTACATGTGCAGCGTTGGATTGGCCTCGATCTTTTGGAGGATGTGATGGGATGTTGATGCTTTAAGGCTGGGATTGTTGACACAGAGCCACCACCCCGTGGACGTGGGACAAGCTGCCCCGTGATCCGCCGTGTGCAAGAAGAGCAGGCGGCTGCGTCAAAGTGAAGCTGAGGCGAGTGTCTGTTGTTATGTCTACTTAAAGTACTCGGTGGTTCCCACGTCCTGGATTCCGGAATAGCCAGCCGTGTAATGCACGACGGTCGTGCGGTGCTTGTTTGATTGCTCAGTGGTTCACGGCTGATGGTGTGGACGATCAAGCACTGAATTGATATGCGCAGGCTGATCGAAGCGTTGTGTACAGTACTAGGTAGCATTTTCCCCGCGCGCGGCGCATAGCTTTGCTCCAAAATTCCAGCCACCTTGATTGCATCATTACCAACAATCTCAAGCACCTGATGGGAGGTCATCAAACAGCTACACTTATGAACAAGACGCATCGCCGAGCGCGGTCAAGCACAACTTTATAGCTTCGACTTCCCGGACATCGCGGCTCTGTAGCCATGTCTCATGATCTAGCTATTATGAGAGAGAAAAAAAAAGTACCAGTACAGTCCTAATAGACAGTCCTAAACGCCATGCCAACATCCCCACTACGAAGATCAAGCGCTGATTTTTGTAGTCAGCAACCACAGTGTGGTCGTATTTTCCAACCCCTCTCCGCCGGGCCCAGCGCCAGTCCACACAGCGTGGTCTCTGCCTTTTTGCGCTCGTGTCGCATGGCGGTACGCCGCGCCATCTCCGGTGGATTTTGTCGTTTCAGAGGCCCAGCTTCTGCTTCTTGATCCTCGGGTAAATACCAGCGAGGATGAGAAGGGCAATCACAATCGCCGCCCACAGCTTAAGACCGAGAACGTTGACGTTGTATTAGTCAGTCTTGGTGGCCGATGTGACGGCAGCCATGTACAGGAGCAGCAGGCCGTATCCGCTTATCCGGTGGTACTTCCAGATCGCCTTGGCCTTGGCCTCGCCGCCATAGACCTGAGGCGTGCCGTACATGGTGAAGCCGACAAGGTACTGGAGGATCTGCCAGATTGAGGTGACAACGCCGATGTAGGCGTGCGGAGACTTGAAGTGGGCGCCATTGCTGCGGATCTTCTTGTACTCGATGCTGCCGACGCCGACGATGAATGATGCAAGGGCGAGGAAGTTCAGCCCTGCGTGCAGCTTCTGGCCGACTTTCTTCTGCTCGGCCGTCACGGTCGGCTGGACGATGAGGATACTCTGGATGAGAACAAGCAGTCCAAAGGATTGAGCCAGCGGGTGAACCGAGAAGAGGATGTACGGTGGGTGCAGGAAGACTGCTGCCCACACGGACGCAACTAGCAAAAGACCTCCAGCCTCGGCGACGACACCAGTACCTGAAGAGTACATTAGTTTTGCCATGGTATTGCGGGCTGAAGGGAGTCTGTTGCACTGCTGGAGATGGCGCGAAGGACAAGTGGGTGTTGCCTCGTGAAGGGAGGAGATGCCGTAGGAATATGCTCTGACACCAGATTGATGCTCTGTTGCGGATGCAGACCCCCGGCCTTTTGTGGACGGGGACGGAAACGGAGCTGAGGAAAAAGAACAGAGTGGTCTCACCTAGGATAAGATTTTTGGCGATGGAGGCAGCAGGCTTCTGGGAGGCATCGCCGGGCCGACCGAGCAGGGGCTCGCTCTCCTCGTCACCGCGCCCGGCCGGAGGTTGTTGGGGAATTCCAGTCGCGGATGCCATGGTGGCCACTGATTCGTAAGCAGAGCCTGGCGTGCCTGTTGTCAATCAGATATCGAGGATGCAAGGCTGTACAGCAGAAATATGTAGAAGTGAAACGTGTCCACAGGTGGCTTTTGGTGCTCAGCCTGATCAGATTTTCGGCGTACACATTTCGGGCGTAATGAGCCCACTATGCCTGCCCCGGTCAGCGTACTGCTTTTTGTGTTGCAATAACCAGGCAGATGAGCATCAAAGCGGGCAGCCAAACCAGGCGTTAGCAGATATCTATTAGGCAAGAGCGGAGCCACATATAAAACGAATAGCCACACCTTACCGCTGGGTGGGAAAAAGTACCTTCTTTCGGTCTGAACTCCCTCCTCAATCAAGACGCAAAACCTGGAGGAAGTAAGCGAAGCACATCTACACGACAATGGCACCAGGACGAAACAAATCACGAACTTACAGGATCATCTTCACCCGCCATGGAGAGTCCGAGTCCAACGTCCCAGACAACTCTGCCGTCAGCAAGATGGACCCCTTGCTGACCACCGACGCGACAAGGGCAAGCTGGTCGAAGGCGGAGATGTCTGGCCGCGACTACTGCTCCAGCAAGACACGAGCAGAGTACCAGGACATGTTCGACAACCCCGATATCTCCCATGTCACCACTGACAGCCCCGTTGTCATCTCGAGCCTGTCGAGGGCGATCCAGACCGCCATTATCGCGCTCCCGGCCGAGAGGCTGAATAACAGGTCTGGTATCACCATCTCGCCGCTCATCGCCGAGCAGACAACTTGGTTCTCTGACCGGACGAGACCGCTCGACCACCTGAGACGGCTCGTGGACAAGGAGCTGCGAGGGAAGCCTGGTATCACGCTCCCTCACGGCGGCCTGGACGACTTCAACCTGGAGCAGCTCGTGCAGCCCGTGCCGGAAGACGCGTTGCTCGTGGGCACGACGTTCGGCAAGCTCGCCGTCGCTGGCAAGGCAGACACTACGCACCCGCGAGGCACCCCGGCAGGGGCAAACGACAGAGACAACAAGCCATGGCATCTCAAGCACGGCCTTTGGCACCCGGAGAACCTCATTCAGCGCGGACAGGAAGCAATCAAGATGCTCATAATGATTGGGAGGGCCGCATACGTGGACGACGACCGGCCGACGCCGGCAATCATCGTCTTCGGTCACGAGGGGTTCGTCAACTACATGACACAGACCGCGGGCTTGACTGAAGAACACTTGAGCAGCAATCCGCCCAAACTGACGGACTGGGCCACCGGCGAGACCCGTATCTTTGAGCTCCTCGACGAGGATCCTGATGGGCCTCCCGTTGCGAGTCTGCTTGTGGAGACGCAGGAGTCTCGCAAGAGGCATTTGCGGCGGAACGGGGTGGTTGGCACAGACGTGCACCCGAAGATGCTGGACGACACGCGCCATGAACAGCAACACAACGAGCGTGTGAGAATCAGTCTACAAGCAGAGATTATGCAGATTGATGAAGAGTATCGCACGGGACGCTTATATGTCAAGGCCCTCGAGGATGGGATAAATCCACCTGACGTGGAGGGGAATCACGAGGATTATGTCAAGGATATCTGAAATATGTGATTGGGATAAACAAGACAGCTCCCATACCAGGAAGCAGCTCAAGACATCAAAACCTCGTCATACTCATTCCCACGCGATTTCCTGCACCTCCCTCGAGGGGTTGTGAACTTTCGACCATTTGTAAGTGTCACTGCACCCATATCGTCATCGGTCGAGCGCGGAGCCAGACGGCGCAGGGACGCAGATGCGTGGTTCGTGTGGTAGAACGGCGTATGCGGTGGTAATCTGGTTGATTTGATACTAGCGGATGACAGAGCCGATTGGTAGAGGGAGGTCGACTGTGGTACAGTAAAATTGAGCAACGCCCAGGATTTTTCGTTGGCGTTGTGGACGAAATAAGCTGACATTTTCAGTATAGGTTAGGAGAGGTTCGTTGTCTTGTCGTAGTGGGTGTCTTCGGTCGAGTAGACGACGTAACTCCGGGAATGAACATCCCGCAGGTGATAGATCATGGGCGGAACCAGGCCTTAAACTCTAGCAGGGAGCAAGTGTCGTTGGCCGTGAGGATGTCCAAAGACCAAACATTGATGATGGTGGTTTAGGGTGGTATCTCAGAGCACGAGTACATGAAAGCGATAAAGGACGAGGCACCTGTGCACAGTGGGAGAGGGGAGCGACAGAGAAGGAACGCAGAGAGAGCATCGACCCGTTGGCCACTACTGAGTCGGGCAATGGAAGGCCGAGAGATTGGCCGTCTGGAACTGGGACACCCCGGGGCCCTTCGTGTCTGATGCTGGCTGCTCGACGCCGGTGCCGCTGGAGGGCGGCACAAATTTCCTGGCTTTGACAATTTCAACTGCTGTGGACTAATCAGCCTGTAGCGCGCAGCTGCAAAGTATGTACGCGTATTCTCAGGCAAGCCATTGCTCTAGCAAGAAAGCCATGCCTTTGGCAGCCGCGTGCTTCATGGCGATGTTTGGCCCAGATCGCGAGCGCTTTGGCTTGGGATTGCACATGGACCCAGAACCTGACCCGGCCCCCCGGTCGCAAAGTGGCTCGCGCAGGTGTGGCGCCGCCAAGCCGCGCGTGGTAGTGGCTGGGTTCTTTATTTTCCAGACGCAATGTGGCGTTTCTAGAACGGTACTAGCGCCCCTCAGTCGTGGCTCAGCCCGCGCTCAGTCTGCGCTCCGGCCTTCGCCCAGGAGCCTGGCTTTATGCAAGCTTTGTGCACAAGACCATCCACACTCGAATACAAACGGTTTGACAAACGGTGGCTTCACAGCTTGAACGCCCTCCGTGTCTAGGGCTCCCAGGTTGTTCGGACAGGCAATGTTAGCAGTTTGTAAGGCTATTATTTAGAAGGAAAGGAATGGTGCTACGTAGCCCTTGGGATATTAAGTAAGATATATAAACTAACTATTCACGTTATTATAACTGGCATGGCGTACTATTATAGGTATTCTGAATTAGGGAGGGGGTCTCACTTCCGTCTCAGAGCTCTTTTCTCACCGTGGTATTTTGAGCAATCATACGCAGTCAAAACGGATCGAGTCGGAGCCTCCTCGAAGGATCTGGCTGCCTGTTAAACCAGCAAGACGCGCCTGTGGCTCACCGCACTCGGCCATAAGCTGCAGCTGCAGATGTATCCATTCTTTTTGAGCTCTCGGTACTGATGAAGCGCTGCACGCGACGCGAAGGGGCAAGATGAGCGAGAATCTCCCAGTAGCTGGTGCGTGTTCCCTGTTCTTGGCCTCTATCGCCGCCACGATGCTTGTTGGGGACAGAAGCTTCATCCTTGATAGATCGTTGCCCAGGAGAAAAGGAACGCTCGCGCATATATCATTCACCAACATGTTACTCTGTTCTTCGCTTTCCTCGATTTCATGGTGAGCGTTGTTGCTTGCCCCCTCGAACGTAGATAAGCGAACGTTGGCACGGTGGAGTATCGACTGCACAATCAGCCTTGACACGCGATAGCAATTCCAGACCCGGGCAGTGTAGAAGCTCGGATACCTGTGGATCTCGCGCGGAGTGTAGCTCAAGTCGGACAGCTGATCGATGTCTACGGCCACAATGTAGGGCCAGGTCTCGCGAACGGCATCGGCCCAGTCTAGTAGATCCTGATCTATGCGTCTAGCGCATTGGAGTAGCCGTTGGACATGACTTTGCTCGACTGCTGGAGATCGCGCGAGAATGTGGCTACTTTTGTGCTGAAGATTTGGTATCTTGGCCGCCAAGGAGAAGAGTGCCCCCTCCGGGTTCTGGTGCGAAGTCGTAGCAGTCGCATTAAACAATACAGAGGTTTCGCCCATGGGCTGACATGATTGCATATGGATGAGGACCTTTCAATTCATCAACGTCAGCGTCTAGCGATTCTTAGTTTAAGCAGGTGCACTCACAGTGCCTTTGAGGATGAAGCCAAAGATCCCGCGTGACAAGGCCGAGTTGCCATGACTGGCAACTTGTATCCTTGCAACAGCGGCAGCTCCGTCGAGGTGTGTACCCCATGCCAAGGGGCTTTCTAAATCCCCAATCATAGTCTTGGGTCGATGATCAGAATCAGCCAAGGTCTTTTTCCAGGTTCCATGATAAGCCACTGACCTCAAAACCGCTGAGAAGAAGTATGGCATATAAGACTGCTGGGTCCTGCGCTTCTACTGGATCCTGTACTGCTTGTCGTATTGCTTTGACAGCCTTGACATATCGTTCTCTGGCCACCAGAGCGCCTTGTCGTATATACTGTCTAGACGCAGCATAAGAAATCGCCTCCGTTGCTAGCCGTAACGCAGACTTTGGACTTCCTCTCGCGTACAGACTCGGCAGTTGTGAGTGCAAGAAATGCACAGGATCCTCGTCCGAGATAGTCTCGAGCGTTGTATGGTAGAAATGGGATACTACTGTGTCTTCCATGGACGGTGACAATGTGATAGGCAATTGCAGCACATCTGCAAAGGCATGGGACCATGACGAGGTGTGGAGCCGGATACAGTTTGACGAGGTGCCGGTGCATGCACGCCGTTGCCGGGATCGGGCTTGTACCTGACTGGTCTCATCGCGGAATATGAGATCTATTTGGTCTCGGTAGCCGAGACACGTCCGCTTCAACTTCAGGCACCTTGAGCAAGCAGGGCGTTTTTCATCACACTCCCTCTATTATCAGCTACAGTCTTTGACGCAGCTGATGTTGTATGCATCATACCTTTTTATGATGTTTTCTGAACACGATCGAGATCAGTACAAGGCATGGGGGAGCGCTCAATCGGATGCTCACCTGCAATTCTCACACCCCCGGCTTGGCTTTCCGCAGTAGACCATGGTGCGTCGCGCATGAGCAAATCCCGACCAGACCCCTTGGAGACTGTTGATTGGGGGACCGAGCTATGCCAACATGGGGGCAGTAGGGCGTGCGGATGGACGAAAAAAGGGACTGATGGCAAGTGTCGTGTTGTTGGATGTGAATTTAATGCATGAACCCCTTTTGTATTTGGAGGCGGTGTAGGCCGACAGAGCTTAAAGGAGGATCCAGTGCATCATAGCTCCATTGCACCCTATGACGCTTTTCGATTAGTCACTTGGCGGATGGAGCATTCGCCGTTGCATCCGAGGAAATACCGACTAACTACATACGGTATGCATCGAGCTGGCCAATCAAGCGTCGAAGATTGTGTTCAGCAGTTGAGCCTACAGCAATAAGATTGAGGTTTGCCCGGGACCGTCAGGAATGTCATGATGAATATCCGAATCATACAGTTTGATACATCACTCCAATCCTTTCCGACTGGTTGTCTTCTTCTTCCGACCTTTGTGTTATTTGTGCCACCGAAAACACACAACGGACGCGCGAGAGCCGGCGGATGTGGCTTGGAACTCATCGCACACAATGGTGACCGTATGTCAAGCGATCCATCCTGCTTTCAAGATGGCGAAGCTGTCAAAGCTGTCATGAGGTTATACGCCACTTCTAGCTGGTGGACAGATGCTAATTGACTGCTTCCACAACAGCGAAAGAACACGAAGAAGGCCATCGAGTTCTCCCTAATGGTATGCGGTTCTTCAGGGACTGGTGCGTTGCAGACTCCATAACAGCCGCAGGTGGCTATGTTCCGAGAGGCTGAACATTTGCGCAGGCAGGACTACATTCGTCAACATGCTTTGTGGGAAGCGAGTGCTGGAACACATGGATCCAGACGAACCCATGGGACAAGGACTTCAGATCAGAACAACAACCATCGGTATGGGTCACAAGCTTCATCATTCGATGAGACGTTAACTTTTGTGTCCGCTGCAGAGCTTCAACTGGAAGAAGAGCATACCTGCGTCTCCCTGACGATCGTCGACACACCAGGATTCGGAGACGATATCGATAATGAAGCTAGGTGAGGACACGATGCGAAAGACCCGATCGTCGCAACACAACCCCAAAGAGGAGTATTGACAGCATGTCGCAGCTTCGCCAAGATCGTCGGTTATTTGGAGAAACAGCATGATGATCATCTCATGGAAGAGTCGCGAATCAAGCGAAATCCCCGCTTCAGGGACAACAGAGTTCATGCCATGCTCTACTTCATCACTCCAACCGGCCACGGGTACGATCCTCTCAATGCCAGCAACTGAACTCGTGCACTTTGTGTCGTTGACGGCCTCTCATCACTAATCGCTAATCGTTAATCGGTATTAGTCTCCGCGAACTCGACATCGAGCTCATGAAGCGCCTTGCTTCCCGTGTCAACGTCATCCCAGTTATCGGTCGCGCCGACTCTCTTACACCTTCCGAGCTCGCTCAGTCGAAGGAACACATTCTGGAGGACATTGAGTATCACCGCATTCCCGTCTACAATTTCCCTCACGATGTCGACGACGACGAGGAGACGATCGAAGAGAACACTGAGCTGCGACGCCTGATGCCTTTCGCGATTGTCAGCAGCGAGGAGGTCATGGAAGTTGGTGGTCGGATGGCGCCCGTGCGAACATATCCATGGGGTTGCGTGGAGGTGAACAATCCGCACCATTCAGACGTTTTAGCAATTCGATCTGCGTTGCTGCATAGTCATCTGGTAGATCTCAAGGAGATCACATATGACGTGCTGTATGAGGATTATCGAACAACGAAGCTTTCCAAGGTCCTTCAGCGTGACGATAAAGGGTAAGTTGTATCTCACTACCCGTGTTTCCAAATCGCACTGCATGGCTTTCAGCTGACATGAAGTCTCCACAAGCGAATCAACCCCGAACCAATGCGATCTTTCCGAGCAAATGATACTTCTACAAGGAGAAAAACTTCGCAAAGATGAGGAAAGACTCCGGGAAGTTGGATTGAGGCTTCAGCGCGAGATTGATGATAAGCGACAGGAACTTCTCGTGCGTGAAGCCAAGTTGCGTGAGATGGAGGCCAGGATTCAGCGGGAGGCTGGAGGAGCTGCTGGAAAGCCGGACAGAGCGTCGTCTCCTGTCGAACGAGACGCGAGTTGATTTGTCCAGGCCGTCTCGAATTAAGCAACAAATCACGGAGTACAGGAACAACCGACCCAATGGAGTAACTGGTTAGGGGACGCTTGTACGGAAGAGTGTGATATGCAATCGATGTACCTCATTCAGAGCTTTCTCGGTGTACCTGGTCGAGAAAGGGTACATGAAACTCTGCTCCCGAGAGCCATCAGTGGGTGCCAGCTCGTTTGTCAGGCCCCGTACCTGCTCTGGACAAGCAGTCGACCTTGGCTACACCCAATCACACCTCTTTCCGTGGGAGAGCGCGGTCTGTTAACTGAGAGGGCAGTTTACTCTCACAATGCCCTTGCCTACAGGCGCTGTGATCGGGGTCAAGGTCATGAGTTTTTGGCGCGTTGACACATATTGGGAGCGCTGTATTTTGCGTGCCCCGAGTGGGGCGGCATCAATGCTTTCGAGACATGCCGGCCCAGCAGGTGTGAACACGGTATATGTGCATGTCAAAATTTACCGCGTCGACTGCTCCAAAATGGGCGCGATCTCAGACAAGCCAAGCCACCCGGTAGTTGTAGGTGCAGAGATCACCCTTGGGATTGGCCGCAATACCCTTGGTCTTCTTGCCGCTCTCGATAATGGGCACTCCGGCGGCATCAACGACTTGCACGTGCTGCTCGCCCGTCTTGACGACGGGACAGAGCGGTAGTTGAGACCCGGCAGCAGCTTCTCCTTGAAGATGAGGTTGCCACCACTCCAGACCTGTACGTAGTCTTAATGCCACTATTGAGCACGACAGCCTAGTTGATTGTGTCCACCGCGGCTCGACCACCGAGAGGTTTGCCGTCGGTGCCCGAGCAGGAAGAAGAGGCCAGGAACTCGCGATGCCACATGGCACCAACGACAAAGGTGCGCGATCCGGCTGGGGTCTGCATCTGGGAAGCGTCCTTGGCGTTGCTCTTCCACGCGTTAATGAAGCTGGTGAACAGCGGCTGCCAACCGTCGTGTGGGTGCTCGTCCTGGTTGGCATACGCGAGCTGTTCTTTGAGCAGGCTCTCGTGCCGCAGATGACCAATGTAATGGCCCTCACCAGCATCGTTCCAGCTCTGGATCTGAATGAAGTCTGGCCTGTTGCCCGCCGTGTTGGAAAGCGCGAGCAGCTGCGTCATCTTCTCCGGCATGACGGTGTCGCCGACCCGGTACCAATGGTCGTTCTTGTAGTGCTTGTACTGGAACGTCGAGAGGCCCGTCATGTAAGCCTTTCCCTCGCGGTAAGCCCTGCGCATGAGGCTCGCGTCGAGGTCTGTGGAGACGTTCTGGTGCGTGTTGGACCTCCCGGGCCACGCCTGCTCCCACGTGAAGACGCCGCCGACGGCACAGACCACGAGGACCAGAAAGCATCGGGTTTCGTGTAGTAGTTGGGGAACTGGTCGAACATGGGTACAAAGTACGTTCTCTCCTTGAGTGACTCGCGGAAGTTGTTCCACGATGTGGCCGTCCAACCGTTGCCGTTGCTGAAGTGACTGAGCATTGGAAGGTTGTTGGGGCCAACCGTGTAGTAGTTGGGGTGCCCCAAGTAGTCGTTGATCATCTTGCGGAATCGCTCCGGGTCGTTGGTGGCGTACAAGTCGAGACTGAAGAAAATCTTGAGCTTGGTACCCTGCGCCGCGTTGAAAAAGCGCTTGACGCAATCGACCGACCAGTCTGGGTCGGGCTGGCCAACGTTGAGAGCAAAAGCGTCGATGCCCATGGCAACAGCCTTGGCCACGTCCGAGACGGCGCTATCGATATTGAGGCCCTGCCCCATGTAGTGGACAAAGACATCGCCAGCAGCGGCCAGAGGGAGAGGGCTAGAAGCCCGAGGAGAGAATGTACGCGCATGTTGAATAGATATGGCCGTGCGGATTTGCTTGATGGCTGAGGATCGGTGTTCTCAAGCAATCGCGGCTGCCCGGTGTGTTATATATGGATCGCATCCCAGGCGAAATGCATTGACATCTATTAGTCTTATCACCTCGAACCAATGGCTAAGCTGGTCAAAGCAATGCTGCTGGTCTGGCGTGTCCGCGAGCGGATCCCCGGGGACCTCGGAGGATAAGTATCTTGGTGACAGTCGGGGACCTTTGTTTCGAGACGGGCTAGCTCGTCCGCCCAGCTTAACTGGACAGAAGTCGAGCAGCACCTGTCACTTCCGCGCATTGGATCTTGAGTGCACATAGTATGAAGTTCGGTACCTCACAGCATGCATTGCTCTTCACGGGTCTGCAATAGAGGGCCGTGAACATGCCGTTGGAAACACAGCGCTCTCACGGCACCAAAGCTTCCTGGCGGACGCCCACAACTGTGTAGGTCGCCCATCACGGCGAGGCGTTCGCGTTAGTCCCGAATTCAACAAGGAAGTTTCACGTTCCGGTCGCAACCACGTAACAGAAACAGATCTATGGCCTTTTTGTCTAACAACAAGTGCTACTAGACCGTGGGAATGATTAACGTTACGCCATAATCAAGTTTGGAGTCTTCACACAAATCACTTGCAATTTGTAACTTGTTGCAGCATTCGTTTTCACGTTAGATCATTACATTGGATCTACTAAAGTTTGCGAAACTTTATCATGGTCTGACCTGACTATTCAGTGCAATAAGCACAAATGGCTCGTTGTGTGCATTGCTCTACAACATGTCTTTAGAGCTATTCCACAGCTCCTGCCTCTGACGTGGCACTCTAAAATAGTCCGAACCTCGTCGATATCGCTCGTCTCCCGAGTCCATCTTGCCCTGGAGCGCCCTGACCGGCACTGCTAGTGACTCGCAAAAAGTCTCTATCGCAATCGTGCCTAAAGTTAACACCACATGTTGTAGACTGGCCCAACGCCACTGTCGATAGGTGCAGTGCTCATCCAGGAAGCGGAAAAGATCCACCAGTGTGAAGTGCGCTCCTCCCATAAGGCCGGCGAGCCACTGAGCATCGTCTGTATCCAGGAAATGCGACAAGTCCGACTCGTCTAGACCATCCCAAAGGTGCAAACCTATACGGTGAACACAAGCCCCAAGCTTGTGAACTTCCTCCCAGGTCAGTTTCTCCTTCTCTCTCCACTGATGCGGTTCGCCAAAGCGCGCCTCCAATGGCACCTCGTGCTTCCGACACCATAGCTCCAATATTCCCAGCAACTCATCCTCAAGGAACATGAAAGAGACACGCTCCAGGTCATAGACGAAAGTCTTCTCCGCCACCGCCCGTGCCAGGAGCTCCAACCTGATCTGCCGCCCAGGCTCTCCGTCTGGTCCAACCAATAGCAGGCCAGCCGCCGCGTCCAGCTGCAGTTGTGGAAAATGAGATTTATCGCTCGGATGTTTCTGTTCATACAGAGACCACGCCCCTCTCAAGACCTCTGAGCTCTTCAGAGCTACCATCGCCAGCCGGCGCCATAATGACCTGCTAATTAACGTTGTTGTTCTGTTGTCGTTCTGTTGTCGTTCTGTTGTCGTTCTGTTGTCGTTCTGTTGTCGTTCTGTTGTTGTTCTGTTGTCGTTCTGTTGTTGTTCTGTTGTTGTTCTGTTGTTGGGGCTTCGGTATCCACTCGGTACCTCCTTTGAACGGAAAACGTAGTTGGATGGATATAAAGCGACTTGCATCAAACACTCGCGCTTGAAGGGAGTGACACAACTCGCGGACAGGATGCTGCCTACTAAAATGTATCTAGCTCCTAGAGTCCCAGTGTAAACGCCCCAGCCAGGAGAGAGCGAGCAGCGAAATCACAACGGCCTACACGACCAGGCCCGCCAGGCTCACCGCACTAAGCCCAGAGGCTGGCGGCCTGGCAACGATGGTACGGGCCTGGGCGTAGACGGCCACGAGGCCGAGGGCGCTGACGATGCCGAGCGGATGCCATGCCCCGGCACCAATGCCAAGTTCCTGTCATGCGGCAGAGCGGGAGACCTCCGGGGTGAGCAGGTGGCTAGCCGCGAACTCTGTCACTCTTCCCAACTCCAATGAGATTCCCCTCGACACGGTCGAGACGATCTGCAGGCTGTGGACATTTTGGCAGCAAAGGCCAAGCCCGGTCCCGGGTGCGCCTCCTCGCCCGCCGACCCGCCTGACACGATCGACATTCCGCACGCACTTAACGGTCCCTGCCCTAGAGAGTAGTCTTCACTCAAAAATCCTCGTCCTTCAGGCCCACCTACAGGCGTATAATATCTCGGTCGACGAGCTCCCTTACTGCTTCTCGGCCCGACACGAATGGAGCCGGGGCGACATTGGATGGGCGTCCCGGTGCAGCTTAACTGTTGTTGCTTTTCTGGATGGCATCTCTTTAATGTTTACAGCTCTGGCGGCCGTTTGGATTGGGCTCATCTTGCATTCATTGATATGTGTGATGTGCTCTAGATGGCACCCTTGAGAGAACAGGAATCCCCTCGGCCCCCGGAGTGGATGAGGCCGTTGTATTATTTGCCCGACTGGCGCCCCATCTTCTCCCTCTCGTCCCTGACTGCCGCCATCCACTTCTCCACGCCACTGATAGCGGCTTCCGGAGACCAGAAATTCGAGGTGAAAAATGACATGAACTCGGCCGGGCTGAACTCCCGCTCCGGAATTCTTGCGGCGAAGTCTTCTGCGAGCTGGCCGATTGCCTCGTGGTCTTGATAAGCAAAACGGAAGAGTCCAGCTATCATTTCCTTGTCCGCGAGGCCGAACTCGGCTTTCACAGCCACGCGACTGGGTTCCATCAGAGCGCCGTCGACGAGCTCGATGTGGCGGGTTGTCATGATTATCACATGGCCATTCCCTGCTCCATCGATGGCATCAAGGAGCGCGGACAGAGAGGCGGTTCCTTCGCGTGGCTGTGAATTGGCGTTCTCGACATCTTCCAAGACGATAATGGATGGGGTTGGAACCCGGGCGAGCAAGGTCTTCAGGTTGCTGTCGTTGACGGGCATGCAGACGATGTAGACATCCAGATCGAAATGTCCCGCGATAGCGAGAGCCAAGCATGTCTTTCCGGTTCCGGTAGGTCCGTGAAACAGGTAGCATCGCCCGTATGGGTCGCGGTGCTACTCTCGAGAAGCTGGGTCGAGAAAGTCGCGGACATTTCCCAGGAGAACTTCCTTGACCCGATCGTCCAGCATAACGGAATAGATTGGCTGTGTAGGCCGGGTTACTGACGGCTGCCACTCGCCGTCTGCGTTGAGAAAGACGGAGGCCTTGGCGGCCATTCTAGAAAAGGCTTGGTCAACAGCCGGAAGCGTGTTCACCTGGAAAGGCGGTGATTTGGTGTTTGGGTATCAAGGTCGAGTGGGAGGTTTGCAGCGCTGCATTGCTGCAGTCTGCGGGGAAGCAGATGCCACTATACGTCGTGCCGTGGCGGGGTTCACCCTGCGGTGACCCCACCTACCCTTTCTGGATGCTACGCGCTACCAATTTCAATCGTTTGACCTCGGTCGTTGAGTTGTCTCGTCACAGGACAGCGGCTGCGGCGGCGGTGCCGTCGGCCTCGATCGTGGTCGAGATGCGCGATCAGCTACAGCCGCCGAAGTCCGCGAAGCCATACATTTGTTCGAGGACACGGTCAATCCATCGCAAAGAGCTACGAACAATATCGCGCAAACGGCCGCGCCGAGACGAACACGAGGACGGGAGAAGGGGACAGAGCCGCAGGAAAGATGGGGTTTAAGATGTCGAAGACCCTAAGTACATTCTCTCTCTTTGACCCTGTTGGAGAGTGAATCGCAGTCTGAAATCCTCTCCCATAGTGCTCCCTCCCGACGCCCTAATTAATCACGCTCGAGCGCTGAACCTCCATGAAAGAATCCACCCTCGCCACCTTCGACCTCTCTGCCCTGGTTCTGTCCATCCATTCCTGCACCTTCTCCACCGCCACACGAGCCGAGCCTCTGTGTTCCACCAGATAAGATTGTATTTCAGCTGGCGAGAACTCCCGTTCTGGCACCTTCCTCGCAAAATCACGCGCAAACTCTTCTACCGTTCTATCGTCTTCCGCCGGTTCCTTCGGAGCGGGGATGTCGCCTTCTGCTCTCTTGAAGATCATGCAGAAGAGCCGGAATATCACGTCCTTGTCGGCATTCGGAAGCTCAATTTTCTTGTCCACACGACCAGCCCGGATGAGCGCCCAGTCCAGATGGTCCAAGTGGTTCGTAGTCATCATGAGCAGCCGACCCTCCTGTGGCGATACCCCATCGAGAGCGTTGAGAATGTCCGACAGCGACAGCTTCCCCTGCGATGGGGGTTGACTCTGGGTGGCATCTTCCCCGGCTTGAGTGATGTCCATTTCGCCTCGTCGAGGTCGCGCTGCTCCAACGGCGTCCACGTCTTCCAGAAGGAGGAGACAGCGGGACGGGAGTTCCGCGAAAAGAGCGCCCAGTGAGTTCCGGTCGGCGGCAGAGATGTTGAGGATGTAGACGTCCAAGTCGAAGCGCCCTGCTAGAGACAAGCACAAGCTCGATTTCCCGGTCCCAGGAGGCCCATACAGCAGGTAACCCTTGCGGTAGGGTATGCCGCGGTTGGCGTGCCATGTGGGAGCTTTCGGTTCCAGGAAGCTTTCGATGTCCTGCAGAAGTCCTTCCTTGACCTCGTCATTCATGACAACAGTCGAAATCGGCCTGGTGCTCTTCAGATTCGTCCTTTTCCACTTGCCGCTGCAGTGTTCGAAAATGCTTGTCTTGTTCTTGGTCAAATTCAGGTATGCGCCCCGGCAGTCGTTGAAGAACTGCTTCAGGATTGTTGGGGATCCAATGCACGAGACCGTAACCACCTCCTCAATACAAATACCGAGTTCTTTCTCCACAGAGCGAAACCAGAACAAATGCTTGTTGTAGATGAAGTAAAACGTCCCCTTCCAAGGAGAGTAGTGCAGGGGTTTCTTCTGCGTTCCGTCTTCATGACCGGATGACCGTCTCCAGCCGACTCGGGCGACGGACGACCGAGCCCTGTGAGCGAATGGTTGAGAGGTCATCCAGAGACCAACCATGTCGTACACTTCACTGGAATGTTGGACATGGACCGTCGAAGCTGTCAACCATTAGTAGGTGTCTTCAAGCCGGCAAGGGGACGGACCAAAGTGAGCCTCCGCCACTCCCCAGAGGTATCTGCAGACATGTCTGCCAAGGAACACCAGCAACATGCAGAGAAAGAGGGGACGAAAGTAGCTGTTCGTAGCCAGAACTGGCTCGATGGCGGCAAGGATGCTAGTAGAGCCGGGGACGAAGATGTCCAGGATGGAGATGTGGGGCGCGATCAACGGAGTTGGCGAGGTAGTGTGGTTGAGCGTGGCCATCATGAAGCGTGTTGATAAAGTAGCGAGCAGAGGACGGGTGTTGTCGTAGAGGGATGAACCTGTGTCTGATCGAGTTTTCCAGTGGAAAGTAGAAGACCGAGGATGGCTGGATGGTGGAGTTCCTGACGGGAAAGAGGGCGTTCTTTATACATGCCGGCCAGTGAGCTTAGATCCGACGTCGTGGCCGATCATGCAGGACACCAGGTAAATTGATCTTACCAAGACACCAAATGAAGCCATTGGCCAATACATCGCCATAACCACTTCAACCACGCCCTATCCAGCCACCGAAACTGGTTAGATGCATGCGCAGACATGGATCGCGAGTCGGCAGAGATCGTTGTATCTCTATCGTGGAGCGATCCCCGCGAACCAACGTGCATGACGATATGTGACTGGATTGCCGCCGTGCCCGATGGCACACATCCCCTTAAGCTAGAACCGTCGACGTGAGCGGCCAGGGGTAATTCTGTGTTGAGTCAGGGGTTACTGAATGACATGGAAAAGTAGACAGATGCATTATTTATGGACTACCTAATTGGTCAATTGCACAAAGACATCGCTGCCTTACCTGTTTTCGTACTAGCTTTTCAACATTTCCTTTCCCCCCCACGTTGCTCGCACCCCCCCGCCTTCTGTTGTGCACTTCGCTAGCGCCTTTGAATCCAAGTACCAACAAGGTGAACCGGAAAAAGCATCACCCTGGAGATAGACGAGAATTTTCCCCACATTACAAGTAACGTAATCCACGGGCGAGTGGCCCATACGGGCGAGTGGCCCACCCCAACCAAGTCTTGCAGGTATCACCCTCGATAACACAGCCCCAACGCCTTAAATCAATTAAGCTCAATCGCTATCTTCTAGTTCAGACCCAAGAGTAACTATGTAACAAGTTCTTGCGTTATGACCGGGTTTCCCGCAGACGCTACAGCACCGCTGCTTTGGTGCAGATCGACTTTCACCCCCAGAGTTTTCCTGCATTTCCTGTACTACCTGAGCATTTACCTCTCTCTAGGTTACGAGATCTTGTCCCTCGCCTAGAGTCATGCTTTGGCCTTTCCTGAGACGTGTTTTTTTCGCCCTACGACGCTTGCTAAGTATTGCATTCTCGTCTTCAAGGGCTTTCATCCTTGCCTCCATTAAGGTAAACTTATGCATAATCCCCTTTGCCCCCTTCGTGAACTGCTCAACTGCTTCAATAATTGACGTTGGAGAGCTTCCCTGGTGACGAGAGATTCGACCTTTAATAAAATCAGACTGTGAACGGGCTTCTATAGCTGTAGTAGGCGTTCGGGAAGTCCATAGCTCGGGTGACCTCCGAGGCGTCCCTGGGGGCGTTGGCGTCTTGAACTTTACATCGAGCTTAGATAAGACTGCTTCTGGGTCATAGGGTACAAGTCCTGCCCCTCTGAAGCCTCCCTGGATGTTTTTTTCCGTTATTGTCTGTTGGAATGCTGCTAAAAACGAGGGGAGGAAGTCCTCCTTGCTGATATGCGTTGTACCCGCCTTCATCTTGAGCTCGATTTGCCGACCGTATGCTTTCTTCAGCGGACCAAAACACCCAACATCGAGAGGCTGGAGTATATGAGACGAGTGAGGAGGCATACAGAGCGTAATAATCTTGCTGTCCTTGCAGTAGAGCTCGAATTCGACCGAGTGGTGACTTTCGTGGCCGTCGAGGACGAGGAGGCGATAATCGCCTTTTGTTCGCAACTTTGTATGCTGATCGAAATGCCGAATCCAATCTAGACCAATTTCATTTGTAGTCCAGCCGTTTAGGGACGTTATAATTCTCCAGTCGCGAGGAATCGCGTCGTCTTGGTACCAGGTCGAGAGGTGATATTTGCCGGCAAATACTACGAACGGCGGGACGTAAAATCCGGTCGCGCCGACGCCCTGGATGACCGTAACCCATTCCCGATTACCCGGTTGCTTCATCTTAACGTTCGAACGTCTTTGCGCGTTTGTAACGACCATCCCGGTCGCGATAACGCCCATCTGAAAGCCTGTCTCGTCGAAGTTGTAAATATCGGAGTCCGCGACACCGTATTTCGCAACTACGTTCCGCACAAGCCGAAACCACGCGTTTATCGCGTCGGGATCCTCGCACTGGGCTCTCTTATAGTCGTACTTGCGAAAGAAACGCGTCTGGAGCTCTGGTCGTCGTTTAACAAAGGTTGAGGCCCAGTTGATTCCGACACCTGGCCTGTCGCGCTTCGCGAGTAGTTGATTCGCCATTTCTCTAACCTCACTTAGCCGAGGAGGATATGCTCGCGCATCCAAGTCGAGAATGTATTCGACAATCTTCTCCTCTTCCAGCTTGGTTAATTTTGTAGAATTCGGAGGGCTTTCGCGTCGGGCAGGTACTCCCTTCTCTCGGCGTCGTAGGGTTGTTCGGGGGACGTTGAACATCTCGGCAGCGCGTCGGGTGCTTAAGTTTGGGTCGTTTTCCATTGCTTGGATAGCAAGGAACAATTGACTCTCTTTAGAAGGCGTCTCCATCTTTCGTGGTGGAATAAACGCGTGAAGAAGAGTTGGATTCGGTATAGTGAATGAAAGTGGGCCACTCGCCCGTATGGGCCACTCGCCCGTGGATTACGTTAGTCGCATTTTAATCTCACCCACCCCGGTCGTCGAATCTCGCCCACCCCGCTCGTGACTTCGAATCTTGCCCACCCCACCAGCGACCTCGAATTTCGCTCGCTTGGCCGCATTGGGCCTCTGTCTGGGAGCAGCAGGACTGAAATGATCGACGGCGGGCGAGCGGCAGTGGTGTCTCTTGCCATCCCAAATGGCACGGTCGGGCTTCGGAGCGGTTGAGTGGCCAAATCGCTCGGTTTCTTCGCCAGAAGTTAGTTCTTCCGAGGCCGGCCACGTGCCAGGATGCAGGCGATCCGGGTGACTTTGCCCAACGTCATTCGGGCGAGCCGCCTGATGTGCCACAACTCCACTCTCGAGTGCACGACTGTGCCACATGCTGCGGCTATATCCGAGCATGCGCGAAATACTGATCCAATGACCTTAGCCAAAATCATTTTGGTGGGATGGCTTGACTTGTTCTTCTCCACACCCCTGACGGGTATAAGCTGCCAGATCGCGTCCGTCATTGACCAGCTCTGTCTTTCCCATTTTCGCGGCAGCGTAGCTCTGATACACGACTGCTTTGTGGCGTAAACTATCCGGCGTTCATCTGTGAGCTGCACGCCATCACCGCCTGCAGAGTCAGTACGATCTATGGCTTACGGAGCGGGAGTTCCTGGCCTCAACAAGGCATTGAGGGAGGAAGACCTGGAGAAGAGCCGCAACATGTACAGTATCACAATCACCATGGAGTCGTCGACAACCGCAACTGACCTCCCTAGTTACAACCGACTTCCGGACGATTCGCAACAGCCCGAGATCCGCGAGTCACACATACACGACCTCGCCACGCTCTTCGTCCGGAACCGCGCCGACAGAGTTTTCGGCATACACCTGGCTCACGCACACTTCGCTGTCCCCGATAAAACAGTTCTGCTTGGAGTCAATCACGAGACGCCTCGCTGCCGCTGGGCCAACGCCACTGCGTTCCAGGCGATAGACCTCAACAACGTGCATGGGCATATATTTGTTCTCACCGACCACGGCTTCCACCCATACGAGTATCAGGCAAGGCCCATGCCAGATCTCTCACAAGTCGATGACCACTTCCTCGCCGAGCTTGCCGGTTTTCTGAACGCACACAACTTAACAACACTTGTCGGACTGCAAGTCATCGATCCATATCCCGGCCACATGTTTGAGCTCGTACTCCCGCAGGGAACTATCATGCTAGATGCTTCGAGCGTGGATGGGTGCGTCCCAACAAGGCAGACGGGCTGGAAGTTTGAAGTTGAGAATGGGGAGCCGCACGTATGTAAGTCAAATGAGACGCATGCTCGACATGCCAACGGGCATGACGTTTTCAACGCAGGCGCACCTCATCCAAAGCTTGAAGCTTTTGAGGATGTCAAACACGCGCTTGAACAGCAGAGAATTCTCCGTTTGTGTGGTGTAGTGTAGTCTAGTCAAAGTGATTAGTCCTGGTCACGTACCGTCCATTGGCTTGCTCCGTCTGGCTAACTCTTCGCCTATTTCTTCCGAAAGCCAAAGCGTGAGGAACGACCTTTTCGTCCCATCGTAGGCTTTGTAGTCCCCCGACGCCAGCGCTGCGCCCACCCCGCTGCGCGCCCACACGTGGCCCATGTCCTCGTCCCGCGTCCGGAACCGGAACGCCAGCTTGGCCAGGCTGCGCGGCAGGCTGTCGAGGAACCGCGGCCACGTGTTGACCTCGAGCCAGTCGATCAGCAGCTGCGGCTCGACCCGCAGGAACGTCAGGTGCTCCAGCTGCGCGAGGCATGTCAGCCGCCCCAGCGGGCCCAGCCGGTACCCGAGCTCCAGCGGGTCAAAGTCGGGCGCCGTGAAGCTCAGGCTCCGGAGCGTGTCGCGGCGCGAGAGGATAGCCATATTGTAGTCATCGTTGGTGGTGGCCGCCGCAGCCGCTGCAGCCGCGGATGGCGAGGCCGGCTGGGTGTGGCTGGCGTGTTGGGAGAGGTGCAGAGAGAGGGTGTCGAGACTCTTGGCGGCGCCGAGGAGCACAGTGGCCTCGCCGGGGTGGTCGAGGTTGATGAGGTTGAGCTCCTTGACCGTGGACACGATATCGGTCGCAGCTCGGCTGCTGATGACTGCGCGGAGGTACTGTACGGACAGGTCCAGGCGGTCAAGCCTGCCGGAGCAGGCTCTCAGGGTGGGCAGGATCGCGCCAAGGCTGTTGCCGATGGCTGGATCCATCTCGCGGATGCCTGGCTGGTCCGAGGCCGGGTCCTGCTGGAGCTGGAGGGTGGTGAGTCGCTGCAGCGGTTGCTGAGGATCGGTCTCGTGTGTGCTGTGTGTGCCGTTTGTGCCATTCAATGTCCCCTGAATGCTCAGCTTCTGCATCGCCTCGTCGAGGCTGCTGCTCGCGGCCTTGCTGACTGAGTCCTTGCCGAGTAATAAACGCTCGAGTGTGACGCCCAGGTTCCACAACGACACCTCTGAATCGGGTGGCGCGTGGACAAGCAGTCTCTGCAAGCGCGGGAGTAGGCACATGAGCAGAGCGACCAGCTTCTGGCTGACCCAGCGCTGGTCGTCTGCCACGCCCTTGCCCACGGTATTCCCGCTGCCAAACAGCTGCGCCGCTTCGAAGAATTGTCGGTGGTCCTCGTGGACTTGGTCGTGAGGCAGCAGGCTCTGTGCAGACTCCCACCAGCGCAGGTTTGTCGCCAGCTGGAGGGGCACAGCGAGGCTGACGACCAGGCGACCGAGCCGGGGGTTTTGCGAGACGGTCCGGAGCAGCCGTAGACACTGACGAGCACTCTGGTTCGACCCGTCCATAGGCAGCACGATGTTGGCGTAGAGGAGCGGCCTGGCGATGTCGAGCAGGCGGGGGCTGGTCAGGCACAGGGACCATAGGACCGACCGCCGGGCAGTGAAGCCGGGATCGGGCCTGGCGTGGCCGAACTCAAGGGGCCGCAGCTCGAAGAAGCGCAGGATGTTGAGCCACAGCTCGTATGGGAGGGTTGGGCCAGGGGCCGAGGTCGGAGCCGAGATCGAGGTCGAGGTCGACATGGAGGCCGTCGCCGAGGGACGCGGAGGGTGGCTTGTGGGCGGCATTATTGCTGGCGGAGAGCAGGAGTTGGCGGTTCGCGACCTGGTCCCTCAGGGCGAGGCGCAAACTTGTCACCTCGCGCGGTGTCAAATATGCAGAATGGCCGAGGGTGGGGGCTCGCTGTCGCGATGAATGACGTTTGGGCGGCAGAATGTTCTTCCAGTCGTCATGCCCCTCGTACTAGCAGGCGGTGAGGTGACTTTGGGGATGGGGGGAGAGATAACCACAACCCTCAGCATCCGCTCACTCAGCAGTCACCCGGCAATCACCTTCACTTTCCGTCTTTGACGAGCATATGTCTCCGTCGTGACATTCATATTGTCTCTGAACCATTCATGCTTCATCATGGAAGCAATAGCCACGCTACGACACCGCTCTTCAACACCCATGCTCCACACAACTCAACTGCCGAATGAGTCCCAGTCTCCTGTCTTTGAACTCGCTTCGGTCACCATTGACATGCTCCAGACAGGGTTACTGCCAGCTGACTCCTTCTCCCACCAGGCACAGCTGTTGTCATAACCTTCCATTCTGACAGTGCTTCCGCGCTCTCACCTCAGTTTTTCTGCACAGGAACCTTCATCACTCGGAAGAGGTCATGTCCCTGCTTGTCGAAGGAGCCGGCTCTTAGTTGTGCTCGCCGGCACCGGCCTTGGGCGACGGGGCCTCCCCCCTCTCCAGATCGACAGCAACCCCATTGCGGTCAGCCCGGACCTCGGGGTAGTCCGCGTACGCCGCACCGACCGCATCCACACCCGGCCCGAGCCTGATCCGCCCTGTGCTCCCGTCCTCCAGCCTGCTCGCCAGCCAGCTCGTGACGCTGAAGCCGATCTTGAGCACCGCATCCACCGCGAACACGATCCAGAACGTGAGCACCGACCAGCAGGCAATGACTCTACCGTGCTGCGGTGTTATGCACTCGTTCGCGAGGAACTGGATGGCGATGTAGATGCCCATTCCTACGAGGCCTACGATGAGGCTCGTAGAGAAGTCGCGGACTACCGTCGCCAACATGCCGAGCATGCCGCGGCTGATGATGAGCTCAAATACGAGCGAGATGACAAAGGCCGTGCTGTGGTATGGGTACTGCCATCGGTAGGAGTAGACGGACTGCAAGTTGAAGGCCACCGCGATAAGGAACATGGCAGCCGCAGCGAGGAAGAAGCCCACGCGGGCGCGCGTGGACGACGACGCCGAGGTCTTCGAGGCGAAGCGTCGGACCGAGCCCATCGCGCTGGCCATGGATCTCTGAAGCGGAGAGGGAGAGTCGTGGGGGTTGGCGAACGGAGTGGCCATGTTGTTGGCAACGGGGTGATGTTGGCCTGGTGATGTCGAGTGAGTTGCAACGCCTTGGTGACTATAGATGATGGATGTGGATATGTCACAGCTTGACGTTCGGAGAGAGTCTGTTGCGTTGCACAACGGCGAGCTACGGCGAGTTTATGAGCACGCAGAGCTGATCTTGGGACACCTGTATTGTTTGAGGCTCTTCAACGCATGAGACATGCCAAGACAGGACTGCCGACACAACAGCTGCTACCTGCACCACCCTCGACAGGGGCCTCCCCAGGCAGACGGATAAACAGCCAACCAGGGCACATTCCGTGCTTCCAAGGTTGGTATCAGGGTCAGGCCTCCGCGATCGTGAACCTTGTGACGGCTTGGATGGGGCGCGCTGCGGGGGTCGCTGTTTAGGCATCACTTTAAGGCCGCCCAGATTGGCAACACGTCCCGATGCGTCCTGATGGTGCCGCAGCTGTGTTATGCCTAGAGCGGGCATGGCGGCAGTGGCGTGCTTGTGTCAGTGGCTGAATTGCACGATGGCCTCGATGTGGGTTGGCCGCCTTTGTACTTGACTACATGCCACCGATCGCGAAACAAGCAAACTCGTGCTGAAGGTTGCAGATTCGACCATGTGGACAGCTGGGTTTTTCTGGCATTGCTGCTCCGGGCCAGCTCTGCCACGCTCGAGCTTCTGTGCCGCTGCATAGGGCGTCTTTCAGTCGAATCTGCATCTAGCAATCAGCTAGCTCTAATCCCCTGTTCAATCCTGTCAGGCACTCGTCGGTCCAGCCCCGAGAAGGATCGGTGCCTCGACGACCTTGGTATCTTCCTTCGTGATATGCCCAGGTCTGCATGTTTCAGTTGCTCGCGAGAATTTAGAGCTTGAATGCATCGACTCGGGTGCTAGGGGTACGTCTTCCGCCCCCTGACTATTGTACTATCGTTGATTTTGGCGGCGTGCAGCACTCCATGGACACCTGGGCAACTGGTAACCTTGAGGGCACTCGACAACCCTCGACCCACATAATCGAGCCACGACTGATATTATGCAAGGCGTGCACTCGAAACCTTGATGGCCCGTCTCGAAAATAATTACCTGTTGCATGAAATGTGGCAGAATGGTTGGAAAACTCATGTTCTTCAAATACCAGTACAGTCGCATTCGAAATCGGTGTCCGTGTAGGTCATGCAAAAATAGTTCTGCGCACGGGCACCCTGGTCTTGGCACTCCATATTAATCGGTGGAGAGGTGGATACCTCTGCAAGAAGGTGGGGGGTAATCGACAGCCAATTCGTGCTTCATAGTCAGTAATGGCCTGACGTAGCTCCTCGCTTATTGCATAGATGGAGGCATTACATTATGAGGAAAAACATGATGCTGCAACAAATAAAGGTTTTGCAACCAAACATTTCCACACGTATTTGATCCTGTCGGCTGGCCGAACTTGGAAGCTATCGCTTATACCGCGAGCTTCTACAATCTCTCAAGTGCTCATAGCCATATCAATCTCGACTTCGATCGGCCCTCTTTGTAGCGAAGACATAGCATACTTAGCTTTCCGATACTCTACTGAGACTCTGCTTGCTGAACTGCGTGGTGAACGAGTAACACATACTCGGTCGATGTGTTGGCAGGAAACGCGAGTTCGCAGTACCGTGACAATATGGGCTGTACAGTGTATGGGCTGCAAGGAGCGCTCGCAACAGCTAACTCTTCATCAATAGCGTTTGGCCTCCGCAGGGAAACAAAGCAGTTTTCGGCAAAAAGTGAATGAAGTCAGGATGCAGATGACGACACCGGACCTATAGTTGTTCACAGGATGGATTGCGGTCAGAGGGCCCTCCGTCCGTTTATACCCGAAACCGCACAGGGATCAACCATCGTCGAGCTTCACATATCGTCAAATTACCGGACTCCTTCGACGGAAGCCATGCTCAGCTGCTTAAGATTAGTGAGAATGGGACTGCGGGAGCTCCTGAGTGCTGGAACAGAAGCTAGATGACTCATCTATGTGTGGGTCCAATGCCTCATGTGGCTACCCTGTAGAGGCACAGTGGCTCTGTGCCTGGCCTCCGAGACATTGGCACGCCAGCAATCGAAGCCATATGATGGAGTATGAAGCCTTTGCTGCTGATTTGATGAAAGTTATTTCCAATGCCCGATGCCGTTCAGGACCTTTTTCAACGGCCTGAATGTTAAGAACTGGCAAGGGAGTGTCATCACGTGGCTGTGTTCGATTCGATACGCTGCACCCAAGACCTCACAAGTGGTGCGCATGCATGCTCGAGACAACCACTTTCACTTACAGACCACACCACGTCCGACGTTACGCTTCGACTTGCATAAGAGCTACAGTTAGTCCCATCGCAGTCACATACAAGTTAAGTGTCGTTGGCCACGTGAAGCCTCCCAGCACAGATAGGAAGATGTGGTGGGGATACCCTGCTAGCATTCCATACTCACGTACCTGGGCGTGGTCTTCATCTTCTTCTGCCTGCCCGAGATGAAGGGCCGCTCCCTCGAGAGCATGGACGACCTGTTCAAGAGGCCGCTATAGACCATATAGAGGCATGCTTATCCCACCGAGGAGGAGAAGGTCAGGCGTAACGTGCAGGATGACTTTTGTCATGGACCAGGGGGTAAAGGTACGGCCGACGACGGCTCATGTCGAGAAGGCTTGATTGTTATAACTCGGAAAGTCACAGGAGAAGAAGTCGCTTCTGACCGCACAGCTGTTGACTGAGATACGGATATGTAGCGTCCAAAAGAGTTATGCCATGGCTACCTAGAGAAAACAATGACGCACGATGGTCTTGCCCCCATCTCCATTGCCGTTGGGGACAGTAGTCGTCAGATCGTTTTCCAGCCACCATGATGCGCACCAAATTGTACGTCTTCTGCTGCTTGCTGTCTTCTTTGATCTGCAACAAGCATTAACACCTTCCAGCCGTCACCGTAGCCCTGTAAAATCGTATCAGCAAAGTCAGCAACACCACGAAAAGACAAGGGGCCAACTTACTTAACCCACCATCCCTCATTGACGCCCGTGCCACCACGCGTGCCGCTGTTGATAGGCACCTTAACGATCTCGTTGCAAAGCACCACCGAGAGTGTCGTCCCGATGGTGAAATCGTTGCGGAGCCAGAACTCGATCTTGTTGGTTCCATAAGGGGCGTTGTAGCAGCCGCGCTTGCTTTGGCCTACCACGAAGGCGCCACTGCCGTCCGAGCTGGCGTTGCCGTCGCACCACTTGGTGACGCTGCCGAGCGCCTCTGGCTTGTTGTCACCCCACAGCTTGTCGCTGCTCGAGCTCGAGCACGTGGCCTGCGTGGTCGGCTTGAAGCCGATTGTGCGCACGCACACGTTGGCGTTGGCCCACAGCGTCGTGCAGGCCGTCGTCAGGGACTTGTTCCACGAGATGAAGCGGGCCACGGTGATGCCGTTGCGTGCCGCTATGCTGGCGCAGGTGTCGCCGGTCGTGATCAGGTGGAATTTGTCACAGTTGGGCACCATCGAGGGCTGGGTCGGGAGGGGCGTGTTGATGCCGTTGCCAGTCGTGGTAGTAGGCCGCGTCGTGGTTGTCGGCCATGTGGTTGTGGTGGGCGGCCTGGTTGTCGAAGGCTGACCGATGACGTGGACGCAGACCCAATACTGAGCCCAGATGTCCGTGCAGCCCGCGTTGAGCTTGTTCCAGGTGATGAGCTGCTACAACGTGATGCCCTTGGCTGCCGCAATATCGGTCCAGGTGTCGCCACTCTCGACAAGGTAGAAGCCGTTGCAGTTAGTCACCATATCGGGTTTTATAGGGACGGGCGTCTCGATGCCGTTCGAGGGCGTCGTTTGGGCGGAAGTCCTAGACGAGGTCGAGGTTTGAGCTGTAGTGGACGGGGCAGTAGAGGTGGTTCTCACGCTCGTCGAAGACGGCGCGGGCGGGGCAGAGATGGGCGCTTCGATACAGTAGGAGCGCCCAACAATAAAGTTGCCACAGCCCGAAGTAAGAGATGGGTTCTGCTGCCTTGTTAGCTGCCATTTCGGTCCATATGACATGAGTCAGGAAGCACTGAAGTAGACGCACCCAGAACATGAAGTCTGCCAAGGGAACTCCCCAGTTGCGCAGCAGATTAGTGCAGGTGGTTGAGCTGTCATTGTCATACCACCAGGTACACTCCGGAATGGTATTCTCATCATAAGGCATCTTCGGCTCGTCCAACAATAGCTGCATTGAGGTAGATGCAGACTGCTTCCTGAAAAGGGGCTTGGCCAGGGCATGTAAGGAGGCGAGCGATAACAAGAGGCTGGCCGGCAGCGACCGTTGGCTAAACTGAGAATGCAACATGCTTCCGACCGTGCGACAGAATGGAGGCTTAGAGCTGGTTGTGAATCACCGCAACTCAAGACTATTATGCGCACGACTTATTATCAAGACTTTATATACACAGGCCGACAATCATACCACGATATCAAGGACAGCCACCTTGTCGGATCCGCAAATTGCCGTCTCTGACTTTCCCTCATTATGCAGCCTGCGGGTGTCAGTTCAACTCGGACACCACGCACGCATATCTCTTGGCATCGTATGATCCCGTCTGTGCTGATGCCCGGCGTGAACGGAGATAATCGTCCAAGATCAGTCTAGATACCACGAGGTTGACAGAACTCAGTCTGTAAGCATCTGGCTCCGTACTCAATAGTGGGGTGTGAGGTCTAAACCCCGGTCACTCACCTAAGCCTGACAAGAACCCTGCAGCGTTTACAGTGAGACACAGTGCCAGACTGCGGTCAGCGCAGCGAGCCCTGGCATTCCAATATGCCGAGTTGGGACAAGAGTCCTTTTGCGAATTTTGCGAGCGATTCTGACAGATCCTCTGGTAGAATTTCGGGGCTTACCAAGTCCGGGTGCTGCAATGGGGTCTCGTATTCAATATCGATGGATGAGCGGGTTGGACCCCTACTTTCCCCAATCAGATACTATCGTCTGCCTCCCGGGGCTTACCAGCTCCGTGTGCTGTAGGGCGGTCATGTATAAGTTCGTCTCGTGAGCATGCTTATAAGCTTCTGGATCGAGTATGTGCTTCTGTACTGTTCCTTGACCGAGGGGCGTGGACTGATTGAGTGGTCCGAGACCACAGTTCCAACTGCCCTGCAATTGAACGTGACATGCAGGAAACAGGGGCAGCGATTGCCAGGGAGCGATGCAAGGTCATACGCCGCTTAGTCATTAGGGACAGGGACAGGCGCCCTTTTGGAGTTCTGACTGTAGGAAGGATCCTCAAAATGACAAGCCCCTGTCCGCCAGCTGCTGACCTGACCGAGCTGCCCATGCACTGTGTGGTATGCATGCAAGGACATCTAGATTGACTCTCCGCGATAGCACACCGTGATTTCCCGAGATGCGGTCGTCTATACATTGTAAGTGTGTATACGCTGTTCTCGGAGCCGGATCTGGCGGATTTTATCCTTGTTCGCCGCGGAGAAACAGCATTTCGGCCTTCGCGGCCAGCTAGATCCAAGTCAGATGCCAAGTTTTGCCGATTCTCGAGCGGCACATAGGCGGCCTAGCATGATTGAAAGATACTTACGGAACTTTAGTATTTGGTCGAAGTGGCCTGTTAACCATGTTACATATAAGGGTAGGTCAGATCGCCCTCACTCTGGTCGCCTGTCATGGGAGCTGCTTAAGTCCCATCCACTAGCTTGCTTCACAGGACACGACGTCCAACAAGTCTGACTTTCCAGCCATGATGAAGCCAGGCATGAGCCTGATCCGATACACTTCGGGGATCCTCTTCATCTACTACACTCTTTGTTCTGCCTAAAGTTCTGTCAAGAACGAGCGTGCCCACTTCCCCACATACTTTCACCCAGAGAAGCTATCCGAAAATCGCTGCCCAGCTTCGTGTTCCGATGCCGGCCCGACAAGCTTCTCCTGGTCCCGAGTCTTTAGCCTCGATGAGCTAGACAATTGTGATAACACGGTTGTCTTTGAGACTATGCTGCGCTTTCCGGTCGACTCCCCCGACAGACAGACTTTGCTCAAGGCCTGTACGGCGTCTACTTCCGATCTGCGATTCGATCCTAGCGCATACGGCGAACCTGCACTCAGTGGGGCTGACGTCGTAAAGTCGACTGTGGATGTCGAGGTCGGATGGAATGACCGCACGCCCTCCTCGCCGCCGTCTGTCAACTAAGTCGTCGAGGCGGTCCACAAGCTCCAAGCCCTGGTTACCCGCGACCCCAACAACAGGTTGCGAGCCACTTTCGCCAAGTCCGGCAAGGCGGTCGTCGGACTCTATGCCGGTGGCGAGATTCATCGCTCGTCCTCGATTGCGCTTCTTGGCGACTATATCGATCGCATGAGCCGCGGCGATGCAGCATTAGGCGCTGGGCCGTCCCGCCAAATCACCCAGATCTGCGGACCAACGGGCTCCCGGTCAGCGACACATGTCTTTGGGCTCGTCTCAGATGCTGAAGGCGACCTGGACGCAGTCCACGATATAGTCAAGGGTTGGGCTGACGGCGACTGTGTCGATCGCCTGGAACACGGTGACATTTTGAGGGACCAGTCGATCAGCCTCATTTCAGCGGTCCCGCTCACAGCTGAATCTACCATTGGCGGAGGATTCAACTCGTCATCTTCCATGGCTAGCAACAGCTCTTGTCATTGTGAGAAGCCATCCCCGGCGCTTCCTCAACCAGCAGGAAGTTCAGAAGCCACGCCAGCGGACGAGAAGTGATGGTACATGTCGAGTAGCCATGGTCGGCTTTGGCGACAGCTGTTGGTCAATCGCCGAAGAGAAATGCGGCATTTCGCTCAGCGCTCTCTACGAGTACAACAACATCGACGCTACCTATTGTGGCAACATGGTCGCGGGGGAAGAGCTTTGCTGCTCCGAAGGAAACGCCGCAGCCGGCCTCACAAGTAAGTCCCTACTTCCTGGTGTACTTGCCACAGGCCTTGAATGAACCAAGATTTACACAAGACCACGTTCTAACGAGAAAGTGCTGGTAGCCATGGCCGAGGATGACGATTTCGAATGCAAATACACCATCATCGAGCCTAATGACCTCTGCGCGGCAATCGCCACACGCTGTAACATCCCGGTCAAGAAGCTCGTCGAGTGGAACGGCGGTGACGACAAGATCTGCAACAAGCTCATGCCGAAATAGCCAATGTGCTGCTCACTAGGGAAGAAACCCGACCTGCGCCCACAGCCACAGGCCAACGGAGATTGTGCCGTCTACGAGATCCAGCCCGACGATGGCTGCTGGCTGATCGCAGACAGATTCTATCTCAGCGAGGCAGAGATTCAGAAGATGAACGTCGGCAGAACCTGGGGCTGGCATGGGTGCGGTAGGCTCTTCAGGGATCAAAAGATCTGTGTCAGCGCCGGCAGGCCTCCGATGCCTGCACAGCTTGAGGACGTCACCTGTGGTCCCCAAGTCAAGGGCACGGTCAGACCAGCGGACCCCCAGACTGAGATGGCTGATTTGAATCCGTGTCCACTCAATGTGTGCTGCTCAGGATGGGGCTACTGCGGACTCGTAAGTGCTTATCTAGTGAAGATCTAACACTTCGCAAAGACCTCAGCGCTGACTTGTCCATTGCTTATCATTCATCACAGACTGAAGAATTTTGTACCGACACTAGCATCGACAACACCCCCGGAACAGCCCGGCCTAACACGAATGGCTGCATTTCTAACTGTGGCAAAATCAAGATCACCAATAACGATGTGGCACCGACGGAATTTATCCGCATCGGCTACTTTGAAAGCTGGAACCGGGAACGAAGATGTCTGCACATGGACGTGACGGATATCAAGAGTCCAATCACGCACATCCATTTCGCGTTCGGCGATATCAGCAACAAATTCGTGCCTAGCGTGGATCTGGATCCTGATGTACAGGAACAGTGGCAGAAATTCCTTGGCATCAGGGACAAGAAGAGGATCATCTCCTTTGGGGGCTGGGCGTCTTCCAACGAGCCAGTGAGTCGTAGAAGCCTCATCTTTATAGTCTGACAGTAACTTACTGACATATTACAAGGGAACCTCGCACATCCTACGTCAAGGTGTCAAGCCACTCAATCGACAGACCCTTGCAGATAATATCATCAAGTTCGTCGTCGAGAACAACCTTGATGGCGTAGACTTTGACTGGGAGTATCCCGGAGCTTACGACATTGACGGATCTGACATGGGAACGGCCGAAGACGGTGCAAACTACTTGAGGTTCCTAACACTTATCCGGAATGGCTTGCCGCTAGACAAGTCTCTCGCTATAGCGGCTCCAGCGTCTTACTGGTACCTTCGACACTTCTTGATATCCGGAACTTCCAAGATTGTGGACTACATCGTGTACATGACCTACGACTTTCATGGCCGATGGGACGTAGGCAGCAAGTGGACAAGGTAAGACGCCTCAAGGACTCCCTTCACAGATAACGCTCTGGGTTTCGTGTGGCTAACCTCGATATCGTTCGCAGTCCTGGTTGTGACAACGGTGACTGCCTGAGATCTCACGTCAACATCACAGAGACCTTGGACGCGCTCACTATGATCACCAGGGCCGGTGCTCCGGCGCATAAGGTCGTAGTAGGCATAACCAGCTACGGCCGTAGCTTCAAGATGGCCGACCCAAATTGCTCGGGACCCACGTGCAAGTATCTGGGGACTCGAAGCGACTCGCCTGCCCAGAAAGGCAAATGCACAAATACTGGCGGCTACCTTGCCAATGGCGAGATCGACGACATCAGAAAAGGCGACGAGCCATTTTGAGAGCTGTACGACGGCGGCTCCGACTCGGATATCATCATATACAATGACGTCGAATGGGTTGGCTACATGAACGACAGGACCAAGGATCGTCGCATCAAACAATACAAGAGCCTGAACTTTGGCGGCGCAACCGACTGGGCGGTCGACTTGGCTGGAGGCACTGGCACGGGAGACCGCGGCAACGTTGTCTACATTGGGCCTGAGGTGTATACCCAGCATTCCATGGGATGTACAGCCCCTTGCACGATTGTGCTTCCCCCAAGCCCCTTGCCCGCTCCCGAAACCGTCTCCATCCCGCCATACACGACGTCGCTGCAGGTCGGCTCTACTAAAACCACGATTACCATCAGGCCATCGCCGTAGACCATCTCGGAAGTCCCGTTCTACAATGTCATCATCAGTTCTAGTGCCGGCACCAGGGCAGTGGTCCAGCCGTATCCCAGCGTCACACTTGCCCCAGTTCCTGTACCAGTGAGCTGGGTGAGCAACGGTGTAACCAAGACCTCCACGAGGACGGTGATTCTCCCTCCGTGGCCGCAGATTACCAAAGGCCCTCCAGAGAAATGGGAAGGTACAGGTCCACCGACAAACATCCCAACGTCTACGGGCGACGGTATTCCTCTGCCACCAGCGCCGACACTGACGGGGCCAATGCCAACCTGGACGGATTGGTACAAGATCCCAGCAGCCTTTGAGCCTGTCACCAATCAGCCCGATGGCAATGGCGACCAGGACGGAGGTAATGGCGGTGATGACGGTGAGGGCGACGATGACGACGACGACGATGACGACGAGGATGACGATGATGGGGGTTTCGCCGTCCTTCCGTGCGACTTCTGGTTCTTCTTTGTAAGCATATCTCTACTCACACGGAAATCGGTCCACCACAACGTGTCTGACCGCCATCTTCAACCAGTCATGCATACGTCTAGGAAACACCGACATCAAAGGTTGGAGATAGAAGATCCCCGAAGGAATCATCGGCCCGTAAGTCCTTCCAAGCTCACGCGAAACCACTGTGACATTAAGACTTGGCGCCTCTCAGCGCCCATACACATCTCCGGGTCGACCAATTTGAGATGGTCGCAGTTGGGAGAAAGAGTCTAACAATAACGCATCATAGAGGAGGGCCGCCTCCCGACTTGATTCCGCTTCCACCAGGCTGGCGATGGAAGGGACGCTTGCCACCTTGGCCAAGAATCACGTGAGTTTTCCTCCTTGCAGACGCGTCTCCTGTTGCCACAGTCCGACCAAATGCTCACTCGAAACAGAATTGGGCCAGGATCGAAGCCCACAGGGATACCAGACAAGCCGCAGCGCTGCGAGACCAAGACGGCATCTCTGTGCTCTACCAGAACGGAGTATGACCTCGAGGACAGGGGGAGCACGGCGGTAACGACGTCGTCGCGCACAACGGAAACCTGCACGACAGTCCGTGGGTGTGCTGTAAGCGACTATGACGAGTCGACAGAGACAGACGACGCGTCCTGCCGCATTGACAAGAGGACCGAGCCGGCGGGATTTCCGCGAGCGGCGACAGCGACAGCGACAGCGACAGCGACAGCGACAGCGACAGCGACAGCGACAGCGACAGCGACAGCGACAGCGACAGCGACAGCGACAGCGGGAGGTCCGGCAGCGTCGAGCACTGGAGGCGGACAACCAGCAGAAGTCGGCAAAGCCGAGGAGCAATCGATAACGATCCCTCACTACGAAGAGACGTTTGTGGACCTCCATCAGAGAGCCAACGAGGACGACGAGCTGTCATGGAACGACGATGCAAGAATCGCCCAGACCTGGGAGTGCGCGAGGAACACCGTCTTTCTCATTCAGAAGACTTTCGATAATGCCACTCCCCTCAACCAGAAACTGGCGGATCGCTTGCTGAAGCTGGGTCAGGCACAGTCGCGGACCGTGGCGTCACGAGTGCAGACCACAGCGCCAAAAGACTGTGTTCTGGCACATTACAGATCTTCCGGTGCCTCTTCAGGCCAAGATCCAACAGATGAAGGCGGTAAGTCACTATTCCACGCCCAAGTCATGATTACACGTGCATCGCAAGGCACGGTTGTTGGCCAAAGGTTGCATGGCTAACTAATCGTGGCTAGGTTTCGGTGATTTACGACCCCAGCTACAACCAAGCGAGTCTGACCCCAGGTGAAGACAGCTCTATAGCAGAGTTAGCAGGGTCAAGGACGACGAACGAGACTGAGCACGATCACGATGCTGCGTTTACCGAGGTCGACTCGAGTCGGCGAAAGAATGTCGATCTGCACATGACAGAGCCAGAGACTCCCTCTCTGCTTAAGAGAGGAGACCGCGAGTCTAACGACTGGTCCATCTCGCAGATTTCTGCGCCGTTTCGAGCGAATGACTGGGCCACCGACACCCGGTTTACCACAAATTCCGGGGCGTCTTTCGATAATCTACTGCACAAATACTACTTCGACAACATGGCCGGCCTGGGACAATATATCTACGTGGTTGAGGAATGCTTCGCCACGTATATTAAAGAGTTCGAAGGAGCGGATATCAAGCCGACAATACTGTTGCCCACCTATGGAGATGGGGATTCAAGAAGTTGCAGTCATGGCACGATGGTCGCGGCTCTCGCGGTCGGCAAAAACCTTGGCGTCGCTCATCGCGCAAGCCTAGTGCCGGTGCAACTGGGAAACATGGCCGGGAAAAGCCTGATCGAGCGCCAGATCCACGCTTTGACGCTTGTTCTGGACGACATACTGGGCAAACGGGGAGACGGAATCAACAAGCAAGGTAAAGCGGTCATCAATTTTTCCACAAAGATTTATGCGGGTAGTTTCGACCCTGCTCAGATGAATTCTCTTGGTAAGTAACGATTCCCCTTCTATGCACGCCCGAAAGGTCTACTCGGCGCCCCTGCGTTCATCCAAAACAGACAATACGTTTAGTACCTGACTAATGCGAGCATTTGGCCCATCTTTCCGCTGAACCCAGAAAATATCATTCGTGCCATCATAGATGCAGGTGGAGTCATCGTCGCATCCTCCGGCAACGGGAACATATTGCACAAGCGCCTCAACCAACGCACAAACTGCGATCAATCGTCGCCAGTGCGGCTGATGGGTCAAACGGACCTGGCGCGCTCCACCTTTGTGGTCGGAGCCACAGACGGGAACGGGAGGCTGTTAAGGGATAGTGAGCGCTTCCGTGACGGCAACATCTACCGCATTACCTGGGCGCCAGGCGAGGAGGTCCGCGTTCCGTTTGGGGACCCGTACTTGTTCAGTTCAGGAACTTCACTCGCAGCGCCGAAAGTCGCGGGCCTCGTCGCCTATCTTCGCGGGTTGCCATCGGCTTGGAAGACTGACCTTGAGAAGCCCGCAAACGTCAAAAAGCTTGTCCAGGCCCTGACGCGCACCCTCTTCATCAAAGACGGGCCCTGGAAACATCTCTACCAGAACATACCCGACAAAGACCTCGACAAGGAGAAACCCTGGGTGCCCTTTATATGGAACGGTCAGGTCTTCGACAAATGCCTGCTTAAAGGTTGGGAAACGCTGAAGTTCAAGGACCTGCTTGTTTGCCCTCGCTTGCCGGCAAGACTCGACGACCTCCCACAGTGGTCGCCTGGAGCAGGCAGCCCCCCCGAAGGACCGGCCACGGGCGGTGACATCGGCGGTATCCCCATGCCCGGGCCCATCACGTGGCAGCCGGGGCCGGCCCAGCCGACTTGTGATGCCGCCGAAAGATCGACCCGGTGCGGCCGGCTCTGCACCGGTAGCTACTACTGCGGCCAGCTGCCCACGGGCACCCCTCCAGATTTCAGCGAGCCTGCTCCGCCACCGCCCACCTTCTACCTCATCTCCACGGAGTTTGTCAGCCTTTCCACTGGGGGTAGGTACCCGTCTGCGATCAAAGTGTCTGATTGGTCCAACTGTGAAGTGCGAGGTGACTTCTTCGGCTACATCACGAGGATGAAACTGGACTACCCCTGGTCCGATCAGGAACTGAAGGGCGAGCTGTTGTGTGGTGCGAAGCTGCGCTATAAGCGCAATGGGTTAGGCGACTACGCAGTGTTGGACCAAGACTCGGGCCGGCAGGTCGGCACCTGCACCAAAGCCCCAGCGGCTTCCAAGGTCTGCACCTCGGAGTACAGCCGATCCACCGACAGGCGGGTGTACGAGTGCACTGGTGCTTGTTGAGCAGGGCTAGCAAGATGGAGGAATAATAGGAGTGAAACTACGTGCGACGGACAGGTACTGTAAACAGCCTCGCAAGTAGTGATGATCGCTATCATGTTCATGGACTCTCTAGCAGCATTCAGGTCCCGTCGGCGCTATGAGTCCTGAGAGGGAGCTGGCCTAAATACATCAAGCCCATTTAACCACATCAGCGGCCAGCGTGACCAGCAGACCGAACGAATCCGGTAGGTGCTCAGTGATGGCCGAGGCAGGACCTACTGTAGTACTTCTAGGGAGTGTTATCAACGCTACACTGTACTAGCAGTCTCCAAGCCTGGACCTCCTCTAATCATCGCTAACGAAGGTATTACGCTACCTCTTAGCTAGTGCCTGGATTCGCTGTTAGTGCGGGGTCGCCTCCCGAGTAGTATATCCTAGTACGACGTCTCCTACGCCGATAATGGCTCTTACGCTATACTGTATACGTAAGCTAGGGGTAGTTCCCTACGCTATAAGCGCTATAGCGGTAGAATATAGTTATTTTTAGATATAGGCCACTATATCGGATACGGAGGTAGGGACCGTTATATTCGGAAACGGTTAGTCCCGCCCCTCTAGTATACTAGGCATTTAAGGTCAGTGTCACAAGCTACCCAGGCGGCGGCCCAACCGGTCAGGCAGACGGCAGAAGGGAGAGCTCCCAGAGTCACAACGGAACGAGGTCGGATCAAGGCCGGAACACCCTCGTGAAGAATGGACAGATACAGACAAGTCGTATTCAGGTACAGGACCAATACCTAGAGTAACCGTATAGACAGGATGAAGATAGAGACTAATCCTTACCCTTCCTTCCTCACTGGAATCTCCTTCCTAAGGGTTACCCTCTATATAGAGGAAGGAGGGCGGAGAGGGCGCGGAGCGCCCACGAAAAGGCCTCGCCACGCAATCCTTGGGCTGCCACATTTACAGTTGGAGTCGCATCCTCCCAAACGTTGGAGAACCTCCAGTCAGGCCCCGGACCCTGTCCGGTCAGACCCCGGATTAAGGTCGGCCCGCTTACGGGAATATCCCGCCTTACTGCATACTGGGTCCCGTAGTCCTGATCCTGACGTCGGCCCTGGAGTCTCCAGGCCCACGTGTGACATTATTAAGCGAAACGGCGCCGAGGATCGGGTCTTAAACTAGCGTTATAACCCTCCTTAGCCTAGGGCATATATATTAATACTCCTCTATATACGGCGCGTCGTGCTCGTGTCTATAATAGCCTCTTTTACAGATCTATTTAAAGCAGTACGTAAGAGGCCGATATCGCTATACGTAGAGGTGATACCGCCCGTTAGTCTGATACCGCTGTCTAACAGCGAGAGGAAGTAACAGGTGCCCGAATACTGTGAGGACATACGAACGCCGACTCCTGGCAACAATAGCTAAGCTCTCCGAGTTGCCGCATAGTAGACAGCATGAGCAGCGCAGGGTATACCTTGGAATAAGGGCTGAAGATAAGTCACTATTCGCGCGATCTCGACGATACTCTCCAACGGGAGTAGATTGCAAATCGTACGCCACTGGTGTCCGTTTCGTTACCAACTCCCGCTGCAGAGACAAACGAGAGAATCATGCCGTGGGTCAGCTCCGGACAGTAGACGCAAAGCCGTTCATCGATTGTTTCAGGCACGTCTCTGTCCGAATATTGCCTTGTCAGAAGCACCGACATTTTAATCGGCACGGACGACGGCGAACATGCTGGGCGGGTCGGCTCCAAACAGGAACAGTGACAGATCCCGCGTTATAAGTCCATACAAAACCCGCGCACGCATATTCCTGCATAGTAGAACTCTTTGTAACATCATCGTCGCATACTCGACATGGCTCTGCCCACCGGAATTCTGGTTACTGCCTTTACAGAGACGGCTACGGACAAATCAGGTCGGACACCATACATCGTGGGATGAGCCACTGTCTTATTCACGCAAGCACGAAGTACTACTTGGAGAAATCACTCTGGGCGGCGGGGTATGTTGGTAGCTGCCTATGAAGTTATGGGCTCAAGGTATGAGTAATTACACGAGCTTCGCGAAAGAAGAACGGAACAAAGTCATACTCAAGGTTCTCTCACTAACCAGCCTGTGGCCCCATCCTAGTTATACTTCCTGTCAAACTTTTGATCAGCAACCACTTGGGCATAAGGACATGTTGTCAAGACTCACCGTCTGCGTTTCTTAGCAAGTGGGGACAAACTGACTCCCGCACCAAGCTAACACAATTTCCAGCTTTATTAGCTTGCCCGAGCCCAGCAGCACTCCAATTATGCGGGAGAAATTTCCGCATTGGGCGAGTGGAGCTAGCAATAGAACGTATCTGCAAGAGCATTGCTAATACTCTCTATAGCTGGCCGCTGCGCGAAATGATGTCAGCAGTGGACAGTCTATTTGCATTAGTGGTATGCCCTGCGTCGAGGACAAACTTGTATAAAGACTCCCAGATCCCGCAGCCAAACTCCTCCTTTGACGCGAAAGAACGAGAACAATACCGCAGAGATCGACTTTCTTACTCGCCAAGACCACCAACTCCATGTCTACCATACCGCTCACAATGAGAGCCTGGGTCGGCTCAAAGGCTGGTTCACCGCGGGATACTCTCCAGCTGAAGACCAACTGGCCCCTCCCATCCCCTCCCAGCACGGGAGACATCATGGCCAAGATCACCTATGCGGCCCTCAACCCTGGCGACATCAAGATGATGGGCATGAGCGTGCCGTTCAGACGAAATTTTATCCCGGCCATGGACTTTGTCGGCCAGGTAGTTCAAGTCGGACCAATCGCCCAAACACAGAAGTCTGGCAGCACCGAGAACACCATCCGTGAGGGCATGATTGTCGCCGGTACCCTTCCCATGTCGCTCGGCACCTGGAAGGGCCAAGGTGTGCTTGTTGATTTCGTGGTTCTTCCGGCCCATGCTGTCGCCGAGGTACCTCGGGGAGTGCGAGATGGTCCGGCAGCAGCTGGACTCCTCGGTGTTGCTGGACAGACGAGCGCTGTGCTCGTGCAGGCCGCACAGTTGCGTAAAGAACAGCGCCCTCTCGTCAATGGAGCCAGTGGTGGAGTGGGATATGTCTTGACACAAGTGCTCGCCGGCCTTGGCGTCCATATCACGGCGATCTGTTCAGGGAAGAATGAAGATTTGGTCCGAAGGCTGGGCGCGGACGAGGTGAGTGGCGCTCGGGGGAGATTTCCCACAGGATATGCTAATCGGGCGTGTCTCGTATCCAGGTCATCGACTACAAGGAACACGGCGACAATTTGTATTAGTATTTGGCATCGACTGTGCTTGACTCCGACGATGGAAAACAGTTCGATGCCATTTTCGACCTGGTCGGCGATAGACAGCTCTACACACATTCTCCTAGCTATCTTGACCTAGGCGGCAAGTATCTGGACATCGAAGCAGGCCCCTTCGGGAGGTTTAAGCTCGACAACTGGCTGCCAGTCTTTCTAGGTGGAACTCCTCGAGCGTTCACACCCGTATTCAGCTACCCGTCTGGCAAGTCTGCAACCGAGGCGGCGACATGGGTAGAGAAAGGGTGGATTAAGGAGATGGTCACTGATTCGGTATATTCCATGGAGGAAGTACTTGAGGTGGGTAAAGACGTTGTTACGATCCGCATGATTCAGATCCTCCCAGTCTTAACAAATTCTCCCAATTTGCAGGCATATGAAAAGTTAGCCACAGGAAGAGCAACTGGCAAAATATTCGTCAACGTATCTTTAAGGCGGCCGTTTAGAATAAATAGCTAGGGAGCCTCGCCTCAAGCATGGCGCAAGAGTATAAGCTCGGGCTACTTCTTCAGAACCTTCATCTTCTGCAGCAACTCCACCATGCTGGTAGCATAAAGATCAAACTCTCCAAACACCTCAGTGACAGGATCGTGCTCCTCAAAGTCCAGATATGCCGTCTTGAATCCTGCAGCTCGTGCAGCGATTAGCTCCCATGCGTGTGCCGCTACAAACCACCTTTGACCACTGCGTGTGGCTCTTTCGTCCCCAAGTCCCTGCTTGTCTAGATGGTCTTGCGCGCGCTGGTACACTCTGACATCGGGTTTCGCAACTTTGAGGTCATCGCAAGACAACAAATGGTCCCGGTCAAGGTCGATGTTGGCATTGCGATAATAGCCATGCGACGTCTCGACTCCGCCATTTGTCACGGCGTACACATCCCAGCCAGCGTCCCGCAGCCCATCGAAGCACTCCTTTAGTCCTTCCCGGGGCTTCATGTTGCCCTTGAAAGCTGCCATGATGGCCTGTACATCCGCCTCGCTTACGGCTTCTCTGGCGGCGCTGTCGTTGTCCTCTGCCACGATCAGGCACGCGCGCCGCAGAGTCAGCCGCAAGGCCTCGGCGATCGGCTTGTACGATCCCGCAAGAGAGATGTATGTGAAGTCGCGCTGGGCGGCGTAGAACCAGGAGAAGAACAAAGTCGTCGGATCGCTCTTGGCGGTGGGGACCTTATCTCCCAAGCGTTCGCGAATGGCGGCGGCTATGGGACCGGAAAAGTCGAAGCATGTGCCTATTACGTCAAAGGATGCGGATGGCGACATTTTCGCAGTCTTTTGTTATTGTTTGAGGTGGAGCGGTTGAGAGTTGTAGATTGGCTAGTGAGGTGCCTGCTATTGAGGTGAAGTAGTCGTGCGGCAATTGAGTCTATGCTGACGTCAGTGTGTTCCCCCATTTTTGACACAGTGCCATCAGTAATCTTCACATCAACGTTATGTGCAGTACTTTTACGATCCATGTGCATGCGCACACATGATTTGTGTTCTCTATAATCTTGGATAACTCATCCTTTGAATCACTATGGCAATTGAACACGTGAGTCTCTTGGGCCCCCGACTCGATGACCGCACGTTCTCGGCGATACTGTTATTGGGAGGAAACACTGCATCTCGCATGCGTACATTTGGTCCGTACTTGGGCTAAGACCGCCACGATTTGGATGAGTCGGTGATCTCTAACCCGAAGTGTGGTTCATATTCGTCGAGGGCTAAAGAGCAACTGGTGTAAGGCTCGCAATTGGATCATTCATGGTTCTTCATTTACAGGACCCCCTGCATGACCGTGCCTAGATTGCTGACGCTCCTTCTGTCCTGCAGAATCAGACATTACTGCGACTGGGGCCAAGAAGCTACGCGTAGACAGCATGGTCACCATACCTGGGCTGCGACCCGCACACCACCACACTGATGTGAGTCTTTGTCGCCCTGCTCCAGTTGCTGCTTCACGACGCTTGATCACAAGCGCCTGTCGGGTCTTTGTGTACTCCGTAGATACGCCGGCAAAACCCGTTCTGGCCCACACCGACAATGCCAGCAAACCAGCCGTCATTGCATTAGCGTAAAAGTGTAAATGGATGCGAGCCAATCAGTCTTGTGCTAATCCGAGCTAGTGTGTACGAACACGCTCGACCAATGACTCGCGGCAGAATGCTATTAACCACGAGATCGTCGCCCTGGTCCTTGCGGAGGGAGGACCATATTGCTCCGCATAAGTCCCCTTATGAAACCCCTTTTCAGGGGTCTGGTATTGCTGCCTCGTTTTCGTGTACAGGATACGACGTCTCAACAGGCCTGCTGCGCTCCTCCCCCGGAATTTTTCTCACCGCCATATAAGTTACGCCAAGTCCTTCCCGGTGGCACACAGGAAGTCAGTCTAAAAGCTGTGATCTTGAACTCGGAGCCCGTCACAGGCAGTGCAAGCAACATCAGAGACTGTTCAACAACACACAGATCTGATATCGTGGAACTCAATATCGGGAAGCATGGGATTTCTCACCATGCCTAGCTTCGGCGTGAGCGCGCTCATGGTCGCCGTCTCGGTAAGAGGCCAGACTCAGCTTCATTGCCACTAACGGAGATCGTCACAGCTGACTACAGCTAGGTCAACGTCTATGTGGCGGCCAGCGTGATCTACAACATCTGGCTGCACCCGCTGAGCCGCTTCCCAGGCCCGCTCTACATGCGAGCCACGCGTTTTGGGTACATCTTCCATTCGACCCGTGGTACACTTCCGTTCGATATGCTCGGGCTGCATGAAAAGTACGGCGACATTGTCCGTATTGGGCCAAACGAGCTCGCCTTTTCAACAGTGTCATCGTGGCAAGACATCCAGGGTCACCGCACCAAAGGGCAGAGCGACTTCCCAAAGTCTGATTGGTTCAGCAGGCCGATCAAGGAGCAGCCCGTGCACATCATTAACGCGGACCGCGAGGAGCACAGCATGCTGCGGCGGACACTGGCCAACGGCTTCAGCGACAAGGGCATGCGGGAGCAGCAGCCGCTCATCACCAAGTACATCGACCTCCTGATCCAAAGGCTCCACGAGAATTGCAGAAACGGCGAGACAGAGCTTGATGTCTGCGCGTGGTACAACTGGACGACCTTTGACATCATTGGCGACCTAGCATTCGGTGAGCCGTTCGGCTGCCTCGAGAACTCGACGACACATCCTTGGGTCGAGCTTATCTTTACCATGGCTCGCGCCGGCACGATCATCCAGTCTTTGGGTTCTTTCCCAAAAGTGCGAGATTTCTTGCTGTGGTGCGTGCCCAAGTCAGTGAGCAAGGATATGGTAGCCCATGAAGACATGGCCGTGGCCAAGATCAGGCGCCGCATGGCGGTGGGCAACGAGCGACCGGACCTGATCAACGGGCTGGTTGCACGCAAAGATGAGTGGGTAAGTTGAACCTCGTAATATAGCCTCGGAAAGACGTTTTCGAACTAATCAATCATGGCACAAAGGGTATTTCAGAAGAAAAGCTAGCTGCCAATGCCGGCATTCTCATCATCGCGGGCAGCGAGACTACAGCTACCGTTCTCGCTGGTGTCACCTACTATCTGATGAAAGATCCCATAGCTTTGAAAAAAGCAACTGACGAGGTCAGATCCGTCTTCAAGTCTGAGGACGACATCAATTTCAACAGCGTCAACGACCTGCCGTACATGCTCGCCTGTCTAAATGAAGCGTTAAGGTGCTACCCACCTGTTGCGTCTGGCATCCCGAGAGACGTGCCTGCAGGCGGTGCCACTGTCTGTGACACATTTGTACCAGAAGGAGTAAGTCGTCATTCCATCCCAAAGCATCTGGTCGTCCGAAGCAGCCTTGTGATGGTCCGTAGGCGTGACTAAACTTTTGACCAAGACCAACGTTTCCATCCACCACTGGGCAATGTACCACAGCACAAAGTACTTCAAGAAGCCATTCGAGTACCGACCAGAGCGCTTTCTAGGGGACGAAGAATTTACCGACGACGTCAGGGAAGTCCTGCAGCCATTCCATGTCGGGCCCCGCAACTGCATTGGACGGAAGTGAGTGTTCCTAGTCTGCTTCTATACACGTGGACAAGTGTCCTTGTACCTTCTGAACGTCGTGACTAATTGATTGTGTACTGATAGCCTTGCGTATGTGGAAATGCGTACAATCCTTGCCAGGGTGCTGCACAGCTTCGACCTCAAGATATCGGACCGAAGTGAAGGATGGCTGAAGCAGAAGAACTTCAACTTTTGGGAAAAGCCCCCGCTTTATGCGCACTTGACGCCGCGACAAGATTAGTGGTAGTGGTAGCATTGAGGTTTGACACTTTGAGATTACAGAAGTCTCTGGCATATGATCTGGGCACACTTTTATATACTGCCGTTCCCGAGGCAATTCCGGAGCACAATCTAACGTCTGGCGTAATGCCCTCGAATTTTCCCTTCGTCGTACACAGCACGGCACAGACGGTCTTAACAATACTGATTCCCTGACGGCTGTAGCTTTGGTGCACTACGTTATCGTCAGGTCCGAGAGCGTGAATTGACGTCGACGTATGCATTGTTGCGGCATCGCAATCTGACTCCAGGAAGCAAATCTGCTGATATTCGCTGATTAGCTTGACATGTCCCGACTTTACCGAATTTTCGGTCTCCCCAACTGTGTGACGATTCGGTTGTTCTTTGGGTTTTTGTCAGTGGCCTATGGTAACGACAGTTTGTTTCTGACACGTTCGTTCAGGGCGAGCCCCCGGGCTCGGCAGTCGCACGATGGTCTCTTTGTATGGAGAGACTGCGGCAGCCGACTCTCGTTGCGTTTTCCCGCGCTAGCAAGCTGCACTGCGAGCGGTGGAGACCCAATGCGTTGTGTGTGGCTGGCTGACACCGCCAAAGCAGCTGAAGACTGCATGCATGGTACAATGAGCACTAAGCTGCAACCGACTAGGGCGATGCATCTTGCACGCATTCGCGAGCACGAGATTGGGCAGTAGCCCTAGCTAGGGATGGCAAGACTTGCAGACCTCAGCTGCTGAAGTCTACGCCACAAACATCAGCTCGTTCCTTCTTGCTGCGTGTTTTGAAAGTGTCGTCTTGTTTATCGTGATGCGAGCAACATGATCCAGACCTTAGTTATGTGAAAAACACATATAAAGCACGCCCCAACCATAAAATTCCCTTGAGGACTGTGCACATCTGCCTCAGCCGGATCGAGTCGACGACGCTCCAAACTTGGCACATTCCCGATGGTTCACTCGCGGATGGACGTTGTAGGAACTTCTTGCGCCCCAGATCGTTTTTTCTATGATGCAGGCTGGAAATACTTCGCTAATAAACACGACCTGGAGGCTCAGCTGTCTAGCATCACAGGTATCGGAACCGGTGTTCTAACATCGGGTAACGTCTTCGAGTACCCAACGGTATACCGTCTGTCTTAGGCATCGAAGAGGATCACTCGTAGAATCGAAGATCAAGCTTACTGTCTGCTAGGCATATTAGATGTTAATATACCTCTTATCTATGGGGAGGGCTCAAATACCTTTATGCGCCTTTAGCAGGTAGTACTGTAGAAACACTATAACCCTTCGCTTTTTGCCTGGAGCCAGACCACTCTTCAGACTGCCCTTTAGCAGCGTATGCTAGCTACAGACATTACGGCTTTCGAGTATAGCGAACCAGTTCGATGGCTCGACTTCCCTAGGCATAATAAGCTAGCACGTTGTTTGCTAAGTTACGAGGTGTCACGATCCGACCTCCGGGGTCAACCGTCTGGTCGGGCTTCGGTGGGTTGCTGTTCTGCCGGTAGGTAAAGCCAACGCAATATCACTTCCTGTCGAATGTCGTTCTCTCTGGGTGTTGCCGTGTCTCTTGGAAGAGATACCACTCTCGTCAATTGAGTGACTGGTTCAAGTGATGTGTGAGAATGATACTTAGATTGATCGCTGAAGTACAAAGGTAATGACTGTCTGTCTAGGAGATCCATCGCTTCCTTATATCCTTTGTCCTTCATCGTATTTCCATGGATATGCCTGGATATGTTGCGATCCAGCATATCCTTGGATCTGTCTGGATATGTTGCGACCCAACATATCCACCCTTGCTCGTGCTGACATAATGAGAGTGCTTATGTAACCAGGGGTGTGTTGCCGGCTCCCAATAGGCGCACGGGTACCCGTGCGTATAATATTACACGGGTACCCGTGCAGATTCTGCTTACAGCTTAGCGTGTCTTAATTTCCGCCGACATCGCAATCCTGGATCCATATCCGGGGTGCACCCATATCAGCAGAAAAGGTCTGTCTTGACCTTCGCTAGTGACCTCAGGTGCTGTTTGACCTCCGATCACAGTATGTGCGTTGCCTTACACGTATAACGTATTTGACTTAACCTTTAACTATAATACACTCATCATCATCCCGGTGAAGAACTTGCTGCTCCTCACAGTCCTGTGCCGCCCTCCTCCACACATCACCCATACCTCTTCGATTAGCTAGACCGCTTGTCGACTCCTGGGCAACCTGAGCATCGATTCGCTCCGTCTCAGACCGATCCCAGTCCAAATATGCCATCATTTCTTCCCTTGTCCAGGCCCGTTCACCCTCTCGCGTTAAGCAACGCCTCGTCATTTGCTTATGGTCTAAGCACCAATCGTACTGCGCTTTACTATACCGTAATGGTAAACCCATTGCCTGCCGGTACATCTGGTTGCTCGCATAGGTACCCGGGAGTAGGGACTTCTTCCAGATCTCTCGCGTAGCGACGTATCTTTGGTAAATCGCTTTTGGGTCACTGTATTTTAAAGGCTGCTCCGGAGCTTGCTGGTGTTCTTCGGCGTACTCTGAGACGGGTTCTTTAGCTCGTCGTAAGGGCTGGTCGTTTTCTGAGAGCCGAGCTTCGATCTCTTCTAAGATCTGTTCCGTAATCCCTTCTTGGGCCGACGAGTTATTAAGAAGTTCGGGAATTGGCGACTCATGTTGAGGTCTGCACGTCGATAATTCAATCGTAGCTTCAGGTATCGACGTGTCGGCCGGCGGCTCTGGTGTTATTCGTAGCTGTTGCGATGCCGCCTCTACTCGAAGTTGTAGCTCTGCGTACTTTAGGGGGCATAATCGAGACGTCCTTGAATGACCTAGACGGTGACATCTAGTACAGGTTGAAGGTCCCTTTCGCTTAGCCGCGACTTCAACAGCTTCAAAGCCGCTAGGCTCCCTTCGGTTACTTGATCGCGGTAAAGAAGTGTTGGTACTAGTCATATCAATACGTTGGCGAGGCTCTTGGAGAAAAGGTTTCGCGCCGCTCCGGATTAGGTGCCAATGCGAATGGAAGTCTCCTAGATAAAGGGCTTTTCCTTCGGACAACAAAGCCTCAAGTTTGTGAACGCATGGTAGGCCTTGCGACCGAGAGAATATGCCTGTACAGCGTTGTAGCGGACTGCTCGTCTGGAGAAGCTTCCGCTGCTCTTCAACCTTTCGAAGAGCCTCGTGTGATACCCAACCCCGTACTACACCATAAAGTGGACCGGAAAGTTCGATCGGAGACCGAATCTGCTGTTTTGCCTGGTTGGACCTCAGCTCCCCAAGTTGGTTTATTAGCGCATGCTTAATAGCCCTCCAGGCCTCAAACAAATCGAGTGTCGACGTTTTCAGATGACTTTTAAGAAGTGCATGGACACCTTCGACGCGCGAAGTAACAACATTACCGAAATGAGGGTAGCTGTCAACCCAGGCCTTTACAAGCTTTTCCTTATACAGGTCAAGCCATGTCTCTTTAATGTAGGCCACGTCCCGTACATGCGTTGTAATATAGCGTTGTTCAAATGTCGACATACGGATGTCGAATATTGCCTCGGTGGGAGAACGAATAATTTGGTGCCAGTGCTGGTAAAAGTCATGCCACTCCTTCAGTCTCGCAGATTTGTCGGCTTCGGAGTCCTGGAGTTGTAGCTGGATAGCGAATGAAGGCTGACAGTATCGAAGGACGGCTTTGTTCGCATGCCAAAGGCATAGCAATGAAGCAGCAGAAGGAAAGCATACTGCGATTGCGTTGATACAAGCAAGACATCGATCGGTAAGAATAACTGAAGGTAGGCGGGATTTGCTAATTTCGTAGAGTGACCGGAGGCGCTCTAGAGCCCAAACGAAATCTTCCTCGCTTTCTCCACTAAGAAATGCGAATGCGATACAGAAGGATCGTTGAGAAGCGTCTACTCCGATTATATCTAGGAGCGGCATTCCGTATTTGTTCGTTTTGTAGGTACAGTCGAGGATTAAAACATCCGGATAAGCTTGAAGATAGCTTAGCGACTCTGGATGGGCGAAAAGCACAGCCTTTACGCGGTTCTCCGAATCAAGTTGTAAACGGCTCCAGAAACCTTCATGGTCAAGCCGGTTAGCTAGGGCATTGATCGTGCTCTGCCCTTCGTACATCTCGCGCCTACTGTCCGCGATTCGGTTGTAGATATCTTGCTGCGTTGCAATCGAACTCGTGTTTTGGTGTATGTACGTTCGAATCTCCTTAGGTGCGACGCCAGCATTTGCGAGGCTAGATAGACGAGTGATCGTTTCCGTATCGAGTGCGCGATGCTTAGGATGGGCGGATGGGTGTAAACTTGGCTCGTGGTTGTGTTGGGCAAACTGCGGGTCGGGTCGGTGTCGTATTGTCCATGTGCCGCTGTCTCGTGACTCTTTTGCTAGTACAGAGAACGGACAGTTGGTACTTCGCGTAGATGTTTTTCGCTGGCGCGGTCTTCCAGAGGCGTAGTCGCGACATGATCGATCACATGCATATACGACTGAGAGCCTGCCTGTCTTTTCCTTTGTTGACCTTTTCGTAACAAAGGCGTAGCCTCTTGTGTACGCCCACTCGTTGATAGCTTTAAATAAGGTATCTCGGGACTCGTAGGTGCCTTCCGGAGGGAGACTGTCATCGGGAAATGAATGGTGGGTACTACTAGTAGCTGCCATCGGGAGACAAATCTGAGGCTAGTAATGGTAATAAAAGAAATACACGAAAGCACCTCAGCGCGCTTTGTAGCGCGTAAAGTATTGTATGCTGACAGCACCTGAGATCACCAGCGAAGGTCAAGACAGACCTTTTCTGCTGATATGGGTGCACCCCGGATATGGATCCAGGATTGCGATGTCGGCGGAAATTAAGACACGCTAAGCTGTAAGCAGAATCTGCACGGGTACCCGTGTAATATTATACGCACGGGTACCCGTGCGCCTATTGGGAGCCGCATCCGCCCCCAACCGATACCGCCCCCAACCGACATCACATTTGCGACAGCAGTACATGACGGAAGCTCGCTGTTCCACACCACCCTACCTAATTTAGCACTGAATTAATGTATGTTTCAGAAAGATCAAGTACTCCGGCCCCTTCCTTTTCAATTTCATGGATTCCTGTCAACTCAGCAAGCTGCCTGACCGCGTGAATCTGTGCCGTCTTGACAAATCGCTCCCCAATGCTCGTGTCAACCTTTCGACGTTTCTTGGGCTTCAGATCTTCTACTTGGATCTCGAGTAGTCTCTTCTGATGCTTGGGATCAGCTATCTCGACGTTCTTGATGTCGATTGCTTTGGCTGCTTTCCTGATGACCAATCTTTGGAGCCTGGTCGTTGGTCCCCCGTTAGACTTGAAGCTATCCATCTGTAATCTGACGTCAAAGCCAGCCTTCAGTGTCAGTAGTAAAGAGGGGCCTTTTGGCTCATCTGCGGTCTTCACAGGCGAAGGTTCAGACTGCTTGGGGACCTCATTCATGACCCAAGGGCTGTCGAGAGCTTTCTGTAGATCCACAGGCCACAATCCAGTAGCTCGCCAACCCGACACGATGTTTCGATGATTGAAAGCCTTCAACCGAGCCTGTTCGTAACAAGACAGGAATCTTTGCTTGCTGACAGCTGATCCGAAGTCCTCATGGCCCCAGTCGTCAAGGAATGACCTGTAGGCCGTCTTGAGAGGGGAAAAAACTGCCACATCAAGAGGTTGGGTTACATGACTCGAGTGAGCAGGCAACAAAGCCAAGTAGATCCTGTTGATAGCGCAGAACGTAATGAAATCATCAGTTACATGACTATCATGCCCGTCCATAACCAGTAGACGCCAGTCTTTGTTCTTGGGGTCAGTCAAAGGGTTGAAATGCCTCGTTAGCCATTCGT